GAGCACCTTTCCTTCTGCGATTGCCCATTTGACCATCTATGTTTCACTTACGCTGAAGCTCCATTAGCATATATTAACCAACCCACCCACCCCATTTCAGATGAACAAGATAAGCAGCATTTTGGAGGCAGATCTTAAGTCAGGAGAAAGCTTTCCCAGTCAATCCAGTAGTTGGCTTTTGAGCCTAGTTCTTGGACACCTTATTTCTGGTTTCTTTGTTGATCCCATCTTCCGTCTGACAAGTCCCATGCGGTGACATGTTTGCTTTTGTATGTCTGTGCCTTCAGGCAATAAAGGGATTGTGGAGGCTGATAGCAGTCACAGTAATAATAATATTTCTAATACCAAACTCAGCAGTACCGCATAACAAATGATGTTTATTTCATTACAAGGAAGTTGCACAGCAAAGTGTTTCTGAATACGGTTTTACAGTACTCGGAAAATTAATCTGTAGGGGCAGCAGGCTTTATCCTGCAGACAAATTCATTTGTAATCCTCTGAAGTATTTTACCATGTGACTTCCAGAGATAAAAGAACCTCCTTTAAAGTATATTTCCACAACCCACACTGAGTGATGCTAAGTACAGTGGTATCTCTCCCACTAGATTAACTTTTAATTATTGCAATTTCTCTCATGAAAGAGACTGTAAGATATCACAGCTGCTCTCTACATGTTCATTCTATGGGCAGAGGACGTTTTATGTTAATTTACTCATTTGTTTAAGACAGGAATTCCAGGAGCAAGTGACAGTAAGTAGAAAAATAAAGCAAAACTCAATATATTCTTGCCGGAGAAAATCTGACAGGAGCTTCTTTAAAACTGCCCTCTTCCCCACATTTTAATTAATCACTTCTTTTCAATAAGAACTTTCTTTTATGTTGTTCAAACTACATTTTAGCCTAGTTATTATGGCATTTCTTTGGATATCAGAATTATGCATTGTTGTTTGCTTGAATCTTCACTAGCGCACAATATGAATTAGTGTCTCTTCCAGAAATCTTCCAGCATAAATGGGCACAAAAATCCAGAGTAAAGAGGAGCATGAAGCACAAATAAATGAAATAACTTGTATTTGATGGATTTCTACCATCTGTTGCACTGCTCTGTCTTGTTAAACACCGATGGATGATATTAGCAGAAACCTGTCTAGTTACACAGCGCTGAAATGTTTTTGTCCCTCTGTAATTTATGTGTCCAAAGCACATCAAGAGAACATGAATGCAAAACACACCATTAGCAGTGATCATTAGTAGAGCTGCCTATACAGAGGAACTTCTGAAAATTAATTTTGTAGATGAGACCTCTCTTGTCTACCATATACTCTTGTAAAATAGAAGGACCTCTTTTGCTTCTATTTCATGATGATGCAACAACATTTGCTAAGGATGTCCACCAGGAAAGGTCAGAAAAAGGACAAGAAGGGATAAAATTAAACTATTCATTACAAATGTGAAATACTATTTTACACACTTCACAAATCCATCCTTTTTTGTTAACCTTTTAGGAACATAGTGTATAAAATTAGAATTTCTGTATGCTATCTGCAATATGACACCTGTTAAAGATAATTACATGTGATAGCAAAGGTGTGAATATCTTAATAAAGCACGTCTTCCTTGTCAGGTCTTGAAGATATCTTCATTTGGATTAATAGGCCATAATAAGACTCTATATAGATTTTAAATTGTTTCCAAGGTCTGCAAAATCATTTCCTAAATCTGAAGGTGAAAAAAATTAGTGGTTTATAGTATAAAGAGCACTGAAGTGATAGCAACAGTTTGCATTATTATGAGATTTTAAGAATTTTCTATAAAACTTCATTTGCTGCAGTGGACTCAGTGGGCTAATAAATAGCCATGACCACTCATACATCTTATGGTGAAAACAGTCATATAGCAGATGGGAGGCAATAAAAATACAAATTCTTACAGAAATTTTTCTTCTGTTCTTCCTTCAAAAATATATATTTCCTCTATTATGCTGTACACATCAACTGCTTATTAGCCAGTTAATCAATTGACACCCTTTTTGGATGCGCTTCTTCACTAAATAATGTATTAAAGGGCTAGGAGATCATTCAGAGTCTGTTCCCAAGTTCAGTGATCAATGGAGTGGTGTTGACTGTACTAGTTTGGAAGAAATCATCAGAATTATTTTTAAGAAATCTTTGTCTTGAATCTGCTGATCTCTAGAGGTCCCTTCCAACTCTGACAATTCCATGATTCCGTGACTCTTTGTCAGGAAGTGTGGTGACAGGACAAGGGGTAGCAGGTTTAAACTGAAAGAGGGATGATTTAGATTAGATATTAGGAAGAAATTCTTTACTGAGAGGGTGGTGAGACGCTGGAACAGGTTGCCCAGAGAGGTTGTAGATGCCCCATCCCTGGAGGTGTTCAAGGACAGGTTGGATGGGGCTTTGAGTGACATTGAGAACTGTTCTATGTTTCTATGACTCTACGATGACAAGGACAGTTGTGGTCAGTGTCTCTCCATCCCCGGTGCTGTAAAACCCTGTGAGACCAGAGTCCAACGGTCGAGGGGCAGAGGAATGGATGCCACAGGTCTCCTTTTGCCCCAATGCCTCCCTACGGCTCTGCTTAGCTGTGTGCTCAGTGCAGCAATGTCCTGCGCATGGCTTCCTTGCCAGCAGCCCTCTCAAAGCTCCAGCAGACGTTTCTTATACAGCAGGGCTGTCACTGCTGTGTCAACATCACCCAGCAGCAAAGGAGTGTGGCTGTCATTAACCGGTATTTTCTCAGTCCTTAGGGTTAGCTGACACTTTTGACAGAGACTGGGAAAAGCATTAGCTGCTGTTTTCTTCCTCCCAAGTCCCCTTCTTTATCCCCTGCCCCTAAAGCAGAAGGAAGCTTATAATGTCTTGAGAAAAAGGATTTTTGCAGAGCTCTGTAGCTAGTCCTTGCTTAACCAAAGAAATTACTGTGATGGCTTTCACAGCCCTCCTGTAATAAATGAGCTTTTGGAGCCCACCACCAATGTGTTGTTAATGTTGTGGATCCGAAGTATCGATACAAAGCTAAGCTGGAGAGCTGAATCAAAACATAACACTGCCTTAAAATTTACAGTAAAGGTCTCTACTCACTCATGCTAACACAGATATTGGCATCAGCTAGAAAAGGTAGTACGTTTGTCAACTGGGGACGTTGCAATAGCAGTTACAAGCTACCACTCTCCCCCCACCTTCCTCCCACATTCAGATGGACCAAGGCAACCTGTGGGGGCCAGACAGCTTAAAATGGGAGGACCATTAGGTGGGAAAGGGGTGCAGTAAAGCCACGGAATCAGCCTCTGTTTGCAAGGGGTTTACACCAATCAAGTCGGCTTCTCTTGGGGAGGGGGAAATGAAGAAGGAAAGATCAGCGCTTGTCTTTCAGAAAAATCCAGCAAGGACTTAGGGGCACCTTAGTGATATGAAGAGGAATATTTCCTACAGAACTGGTCACAATGGGGCTACACAGCTGGAATTCTGTATTTATTTCTGCCTCTGAACTTTAAATGTTAAACTTTAAAGCTCTGAAGGAGCTTTAAATCTTGTGTCTTCTGCAAAACAGCTCAGAGCCCGTGGAGCAATCTCAGCCGCTCCAATCTGCAGGAAGACCAAAGAGCCGCCAGGAAAACCACCTGATACCCACTGACACACAGAGGTGCTATTATTTACTGCTCAGCAAGACCAGCAAACGATTACACTCAGCAAAGAAAAATGTTTTAGGTCTAAGTAATTATTTTACCAGTGACCTTAAAATATCCCTGTTGTTAGGAGTTTTCTTTGCAGAGGGCAGTCACTGTAATAGGATCGGGCAGTATGTTTCTTCATGCCAAGTCACTGAATACTAAAATGATTTGTCATCTTTCGCCGCAGGCCACTGCCTGACACACACATGCCACAGTCTAATGTCTCGCCTGCTTTGACATCAAAGTATCTTCCTTCTGCCATTGCCAATGAGAAGAAAGGCAAACAATGGCAGCAACTTATTTTCTTTCTAAGAGAGCTTTAATTAAATAAGTGGTCTCAAATAGCTTAATGGGGCTCAGGCAGGGGGGAAAACCTTTCATCGTAAAATATATTAAATCTATAAATCTTGCTTACTTTCTCCCTCTGCATATTTTTTTATTTACTTCACAGTCGCATTATTTCATTCTCCGTAGAGATTAATGGCAACATTATATGACATCTCATGGGCTTTCACAGTCTATTGCCTTTTACAGCTCCCTCTTAATGCCGTAGGTCATAAAAGACAGAGTTCATCTCATTTTACAGAGGGGAAAGGGGGAAGAAATCCTCTGCAAATCCTGCAGTCACAGAAAGGCTTTCACATGCTGAAATGTACCATCGTGAATAGGTTCATTGAGTCTTTTTCGTAACAGCAACTCTGCCTATTTTGAGGGATGGGTGATTTCTACAGCATACCCCACAGTCCTGATTTCCCAGTTCGAATCAGCAACGCAGCAGTGAGCAAAGGTGTGCTCCAGGGTGGCACTGAGGTGCAGCTGAGGCACATTCCCAAGTTTGGTGGGGTTGTCTCCGGTCTTCCCGTTCAGATGTAGTCAGTGCTATTCACTGATGTATCTTCGAAGAGCTGGCTCGGAGAGATCACACTTTTCAAGCAAAGCCTCAGAGAAAAATGCTCCCTTCTCATCCCTCCCATTTTGAGGATAGGAAATAAATTGTAGAAAACCAGAGGTGCCAGCCAAACCGTCGCAAGATTCTTTATTCAAATGGAAGGGGTCCTTCCGATGGCAAGTGGCGTTATAATTATAGACTAGAAAAGAGCAAGATCAGCAGCTGCTGCTGCTGCTGCTGCTTGCGTTTGTTCCCTCTGTAACTGACAGGACAGAGTACTTGGCAAAAACAGGCTTCCAGAAGTGGAAAGACATTTTAACCCCTGTTCTTGTCAGTCCACTCCTCCTGGGGCTCGGCAGCAGCAACCCCTTGCTTCAGGTTAAGGGAAGAGCAAGGTGACAATTGCAGACCTGAAAGGGACTTTATCTGGGACATCTGAGGAATAAGAAGGGTCCGGGATTTGCCTTCGGGCTCGGATTGCTGAATCAAAATAGCAGGTCAGTGGATATAGCGTGTGCTTAATATGCTTTTATAGTTGGCTTAACTCGAATCTCTCGCTCACTTTCTCTACTATGCTGTAAACCAAGAGAAGGTGATACAATGACAAGTGCATAGAGGCACTATTTATTTATACATTCTGTAATATGACTTTCATGGTCAGTTAGGAAACACTGATGGCCGTTATTTTTTACTGTGGTTTCTCTCTGAATCCTAATGCATACTGAAATTCTCAGCAAGGCAAAAATCCCATTTTCAATTGGGTTCAATATTATGAGGCGGGGGGGAAAACATTTTATTTTTAGGTGTTTATGCCTAAAGGCTTCTGATGATCTTAGCAAAAGTAGAGTAATATATAACTTGCATTTCAGCCTGTGCTTAAGAAAGTTTCTGAGAGGAAAAAAAAACTGAGCAAAAGGAAAAGCAGTGTCACGGCTATGAGCCAAAGTCTCTGCAGGCATACAATGGGCATAACTTGTGTTATGCCCCAAAACTCACAAATCCACACCAGCAGAAAGTCTAGCCCTATATTTGCTAATGAAGTTAAGGGCAACACGATTAATAAGAAAGTCTGTCATGGCACTGGTTCCTGTGGTATCTAATCTAACACTCTGTCCTTCTGCAGCCCAGGCCAAAGCAGCGCTCGGGCAGGAATGTGCTGGGGGGCATCATTATGCTTTGCTCTTCCTGTCCGTCTCAATTTTAGCTTTTTAATTTCCTATGACCATGAGTAACATTGGAAGCACCCTCAGTCAACACACTGCCCGTGAACTAAGGTCTTGGGCCACCGTGCAAGAACCTGACCCAGCGCAGGGCTTTATGCCAAAACTACCCACTGGTTTTGGGGGGGCTATACCCAAGTAGTTGTAGTTGTTCACAGAGTAAAAGACACAAGTGCATATTTAAATCTGTGTTTGCTATATTGTGGAATCTAATCAGACAGACACACAGCTGTCTTTCGTAGCTTCACATAGTCTAAATGAATCCTAGATCACCTAATCTGACTTAATGTATATTTTAGGACATTACATTATATTACCCTGAAGTCCCTATATGAACCCAACGACAAATGTTCAACAAAGCATTTGCTTAGCAGGAAACTAATATTCAGTGCATCAAAGGCAAGGCAGGGCAAGGAAACCAAGGCACAGAAGCCTGAAATTGCTGTAACAGTCCCACTTTTCTTTGCCCCATTTCAGAGGAGGAAAGAAAAAGCCGCGGGCATCCAATGCCTTCCAAACTAACGTGAAGTTTGTATTCCGAGCTAAGGGCATTGAGTAAAGTGCTAAGGGAGATAGCTGGAATCTGATTAAGTGAAATATAGTTGCTTGAATCAAGCGGTCAAATTGTGCTTCGTGGAGAAAACTCTCCTCTCCCAGTCTGATGGGTGTGGGGAGGGTGGAAGGGGGTGGACATATCATTACAGCTCTGCAATTGTGGCCAAAACCCATCCACTAGGCCTTGCAAGATGGGATTTGCTGTAGCTGTGTAGAGGAGGTGGACCCATTTCGTCCAGCTCAGCTAGAGGCCAATTTCTGGCACCGTCCAGTCACTGATGCCTGGGAGGATGACTCCTTCCTGAGCCCCATATGCAGAAACTGAGAGCTGTGGATTTGACACTAATCACTGCCTTCCTGCAGAGCTGCAGATGCCGTGAGGGTGCTGCAGGCAATCTTGTTCCCTCCATAGCCCAGGTCAGAAGGGACTGAGCAGAAAGTTTCACAGATGCCCAGATACTGGGGGAGACCAGCAGAGCCACTCAGCCCCAACCCTGTACGTCCCAGCTATGTGAATTCCTCCTGAAGATCATCTTTTGTCAGACTATATGCTCTTGTCTTAAAGATCCTACACCACAGGGCATCTGTCCAGTCCCCTGTTCTGCTATTTGGTTGCCCCCACAGTTAGCAATTTATATTTTACTTCAGACTGCATTTGTCTAACTTCCTCTTCTAATCATTGCACTGTTTTACGCTGGGGGTCTGAGTTCCCGCCAGGCTATAAGCCCTCATGTTATCAGATGTCTTTTCTATACCTAAGTCCTCACACGCAGGCAGTCCCACTGGAGGTTTCCATTGCAAATTGGCTATTAGTGGAGAGATAGACAATTCTTGACGAACACACGTACTCCCTAGCATTAATGGGCAAGGACTAAAACCTATTACAGAGTTGCCAGGAAACTCAGTTGAGACTGTTTTTTTACCCCATTCTTCCCCTATAGCCCAGCCACAGGCTTCCCCCATTGTTTTTAAAGCCCCATATCTGCTGGAGAATGGAAATCTCTGCTTCCATTTTCTTAAGCGTTGCATCCACAGGCTTTTTAGCAGACAGGGCTGCATTTCTGCATGCCAGTCAGCTAATTTGGCTTCTGAATTGAACTTTTTGTAGTTCAACAATAACAACAAAAAATTTAAAGGCCTGTTCCAAGTCTCAGGAAGAGGAAAACTATCATTTGGATGCTAAAGAATAAAACCCATGCATCTTAAAAAAAACCAATAACGCACACAAAAAAATCTCTGAGCCCACGCTGGCAAACCTTGAGCAGCCGTTCTGCAGGCAAGAAGAGACAGTCTGTCAGCAATAGAAGGCTTATGGTGTCTTTTCCCTGCTGATTCCCTTGGTGACTAAAAGAGAAAGTGGCACTTTTACAGCTGAATTTTAATGGCTTACTTTATGCTCAGCATCAGAGACACAGCCAAGTTGCATAAAATACTATCAAGCCATCTATTAACTATGGGTTCTGATTTTTTTTCTGAGAGTAAGTGACCTACACTGTCATCATGAAAATATAGACAAGAATTATATTTATGGTACACAATAACTACCCTGAGGCTTTGTGCTTGTCTTAGCTACTCCCTTCCGTGCATGCTATACAAAACTGCTTTCATCTACATTTGTAGCTAGGGTTTTTTTCTTAGTACATAAAAGTTCCTGTAGCATCTCCCTACACCAGGTAAGCAAGTAGCAAGCCCAACATAAAATATTTATCTGTATACTTTTAGTACTGCTTTAATTACACCGTGTTGCGCGTTGCCTACCTGAGCAACCCTATGGCTTTTCTTGACATGGCCTTGCAGTGCTGAAGCATTGATGGGCATGTCTGGCTGCCAGGTGGAGAAATAACAGGGTTCCCCAGCTGATCTCAGCTGCTGTCGTAACTGTTAATGAAAGATGCAGCCTCTAAATCTCATTTGGTTTTAGATGAGTATAATTACCAAAGCCAGCTAAAAATACTGGCTGGGGAGGACAGTGCATTTGTGAAATTTAGCTTTGCTTCTGTTGCTGGAGTGCTTAGTAAAAAATTCAAGCAAAACTTTTTTCCTTTTCTTTGCTCACATCAGACTGGAGCAACCTGGGAGTAAGCAGAGGCTTCAGAGCTGTGACGTGTCCCTGCTGCTGCTGCCCAGGCAGGCAGGCACAGTCGGTACTAGCTGTTGCTTTTGGGTGGCCTTTGAGTTAAAGCCCAAATACAGCCTTGCTTCGGTCATTTTGCAGGTCTCAACAGGGCTCGTAACTGCAAGATTTTTCATTTTCTCCCTCTCTATACATAGAAGTACACACAGCATGTATTTATGCATACATATACTATTTTATATTTATATGTGCTTGTATATGTGTATGTATCTATCTATACAAGGGTGCATTCAGGTTAGGATATACTGTCTATAATGTTGTTGGTTTCCTGCTTCTCTTCTACTGTTTCTAGGCACAGCCTGCCAAGAGGATGACAGTCACTTATTCCAGCAAAGTAGCAAATGCCACTTTCTTTGGATTTCACAGATTACTCCTAAAGTGGAAAGGCAGCATCTACAAATTGCTGTACAGAGAATTTATTGTTTTTGCTACTCTTTACACAGCGATAAGTGTATTATACAGGTACACTCTTTCCAATTCACATCTCATTAAATGTTATACTGAAGTTTCACACCTCATAGTGTAAGGCTGATGAATGATGGTTTGGGGGGGAAGTTACTACAGAATTAGTATCTTTTCCTTGGACCTCTTCTAATGTCCTTTCCTTTTCCACCTTCACTTTCATGTTCCAGAGAAAGCATGTAGGGTACAAATAAAATACTGCCTATCGTATTCAGCTGATTCTTCTTTCAGCCCAGCATTGAGCAACCATCCTACTGAAGTTAGCCTAAATAAACAACCATAGCTAGCCTGTATTATATAGCTTTTATCATAGCTTTATATAGCTTGTCGTGTTGGCGGTGGCAAATGTGCCTCTGCTTTAAATGATAAGTATAGACCTTTTGTTCTACTAGCAAAACTGTCTTCAGTTGCTCAGTGGTAATTTCTTTAACAACCCTGAAAGGTAATAGTTTGTGAGCCAGGTTATATAGTTAGGACAAGCAAAGTTTTGCTTAAGGCTAGGACGGCATGGCAAACTTTATTTTTAAGCTTGCAGAGGGCCAAGCAAAACTGCAGGGAAACCAGACAGGTTGTTACCTGTGTGTCACCCAGCACCTGGAGGGGATCACAAGTTAGGAGAGTTGCTTCTCCCACCAAGGTGTGAATTAAACACTGGTGTGACAGGTGCAATGCATCAATTACTGCAGTGAAACTTTTAATTGATGAGGTACACAACACAGAAGTATCAAAATCATGATTCAGCACTTACCTTGATCTGTAATTAGACCCCAGTGTTTGCTTTTTATGTGAAGCAAGGAGAAAATGAGCTTCAGTTTGTCTGTGATTAATCACTAATTTTCCAAAATGTTCAGTAATCTATCCCTGTGAACTTGGAAAGAAAATTACAGCATTAATATGTAAAGAAATACCAGAGCCTCGTGTTTATTTAGATTAATCTAGTTTTACTGAAATGTTAGGCAATTAAAGGCCTTGGTAAATACACCATGGAAAGGTTTCTATATGCTCCAAGTTTTATTGCACAACTGTAAGAAAAACTTACCAAATAATTGTCATGTGTTACTTTTATACAAAATCATAGAATAATTGTAATACTCATCTATACAAATAAAAACAAATTTTATATTTAAGCTTGCTGTATTTCATTAGATATCTTTTTTCCATAGGCAGATGCTGCCATTCTCCACTCATTTTCTATCATCTGGTGAAAATTTTCCTCACTGCAAAGTAAATATGGTTGTTGTGTTTTTAATCTTGTGGAGAAGGAAAATTTCGTAGGAGTACAGCATTTTCAAATAAGAACAATTAGAGATTGGTAAGCTTTTGCAATTCAAGCATACCTGAGTATTTTCATTAAGTAGCCCTCCAAAAAAGGAGAGCAAGCTCTACCTGCAGACTTATGGCTTCCTATCATCATTGGTCTGTATGAGACAGCAAGCTAATTCTCCAGGTGTATGGATCTTAATTTGTAGTGCCAGTCAAATTAGTAATGAGTAAACTGCAAAGACCAAAATTGACTTCTCCTCCGGCTTCTTTATTACGTGCCAAAAGAGTTCAGCACTTTAGCTTTAAGGCTTTGCTTGAAGACATTAGCCAGGGTTGCTCCCGATTGCACATACCTGATTATTTATGCGTATTTGCACTTCATAGCTAGTGCCAGAATATTATGAAAGGACAGATACATTTTATTTTTGCTGCAGATTTTTTCTTACAGGTAGCCAAAAAAGGTTCTTTGAAAAATTATCAATTTACTGTGACAAATATGCTGAACAAATCCCGGTAACTTTTGTGCTTGGTAAGTACCAGTTACATGTGGAATTATTCTCCAAGGCAGTCTCTGTTCAGGCATCCCGTGAATGTCCATGCATGGAAGCATTTCAGAGCTGAGGGGCACATGGGGAGGTAGAGGCTTACAATAAAATAATCATCAGCTTCCAAGAGGTCTCCTTAAATTCAAGTTGGTTTTGTTATATCAATGTTTATGCTCATGTTCTTAATATACCAATAAAAGAATAAAATTCCCATATATATTTTTATATGTGTATATGTGCCCACTAACACTGGTACATTGTGCCTGGTCTTTCAAAGCACTAAATCCACCCAAAGTCTACTACAAAAGAGGAAATTTGGAAGTCCAAGAGTATGAGTTACTCAGCTGGAATGGGCCATTAGGTTGCAGTGTCTATTAAATAATTAGCATTGATTGCATCCTGGGTTTTGCCGTGGCTTACTGCATTTATTCTGGGAAATGTGGCAGCTTAGTGATATGAATAACACTCTGCAAGCTAAATCAAAGTAACCTAAACAGAAATCCTGATAGGCACTGAACATTTTTTTTACCTTCTAACCCTCAGGTTTCTACGTTACTTTGGTGGTGAATCGCTGGTGGAACCAGTTTGTGAACTTACCATGGCCAGATCGACTGATGTTCCTCATCTCTAGCTGTGTCCAGGGCAGAGATGAATATGGGCGCTTGTTGAGGAGGACTCTCATGCGTTATGTGAATTTGACATCTCTGCTGATCTTCCGCTCCGTGAGCACGGCCGTGTACAAAAGGTTCCCCACCATGGACCATGTGGTAGGAGCAGGTACTTCTGAGTCCTTCTCCCCAAAATGTTTTTTCTTTCCCTCACAGGTGGGGAAGCAGGGAGGGAAGGAGCCAGACCCATTTTTTCCTACCTTTTTGGCCCCACATCTGCCTCATACTTACCCATGTCAAAGCTGCCACGTTTTTGTCAGTGGCTTAAAAGACATGGCCTTAAGTGTGCATCTTTAATGCTCTTATAGTCTTCATCTAGCAACACTACAGGAATCAAACGAGTTTGAGGCTCTTATGCGAATCTGCTCTCAGCCATCATGGAAGCAATAAGCCTGCCCCAAACACACAGGCACGTGGAGCAGGTACAACATTCCCCAAAGCGTGAAAACCAGTGCACTTGCACTGTAGTACGATGCAGTAAGGATGGCGACTTGTTACATGGCATTGCCTCCACCTCTAGGATATAACTGTGGCTCATGTATCAAAGATAGATCTCTGCAGGCACTTCACAAGTACAGCTTTATCTCAATTTATTTTAAGTAGATTGCATTTTAAGTAGATTGCACATTTTAAGTGTTGTGATATACTTAAAACTCCCAGCTCCAAGGGAGTTTTCTTTAAATTTACATCCTCACCTGAAGCTTAGGTTTTTTTCAGGGATAAATATACTACATATGAACCGTGCCTTTATTTTCTGTTTGTTTTGATAATACAGTGAGTGTGATGATGGGGAAGAGAGTTCAATCATGTAAGACTTTCTTGTCTACGAGTATTTAAAGGCAAGATGTGATGCTGTGCCTTCTGACTGGCATGGTCAGTGTCATGGGTAGAACACCAGTGCAGAGGTGTGGGAATCTGTTCCAAATAGGAGCAGCCATACATTTTTTACTGAACATCTTACATTTCTTAAAATTATTCCTTTGGCAGAGATTAGTACGCAAAGTTGTAGCCAGTTAAAATATGCAGTGTGTATATACATATACACATTTCAAGTATGTGTGAGAAGCTCTGGATATTAAAAAAAAAATATCCAGGCAGAATGCACTGATCTTACTGAAAAAAACATAATTTATGTTGGATTCATTTGGATTTTGAAGTTCTCTTTCTTGTGCTGTTCAACAAAACTGTTTACCTGAGCCTGTGAGAGGTCAAGGGAGCTTCTGTCACTCTCCCCAGCAATCTGCTTCTAGTATGCACTGGAAAATTACAACGTTTCCAGCAGGGTAATCCAGCTCTGCCTCCCTATTGCTAAGGACAATCTGTTCCAAAAGAGACAAAATGTCGCAGCATTGTACAAAAATTGTAGACTGGAAAACATGTTTTGGTTGTTTTGTGAGGTTTTTTTTAACAGTGGAAAATATTCTACTATAAACTGTATAACTAAGTATTGATAATGTAGTCAACTCTGTGGATTTTGGTATTTATTCTGTAGGTTTTAAGGCATACTGTGGCACAGAATTTTTGTTGATGCAGTACTGAGCACTTGAAGGCATATTTTGTTCCTGCTAACGTCCAGCGATTAAGACAGTACTCCGCAATTATCCCCTCCCTAGCTCCCTGTATCAGCCATATCAGGGAGTGCAGCATTTAATATGAATGTGAGCGGCAGAATCTGATACTCGTGGCACAGTCGTCATTGAAACAACTTGTGCCGATTTTGCATTTCGCTATCAAATGGAGAACTGCCGCGGCGTAACCATTGCTACACATTTCTCAGTTCAGCTAACGAACTGCTTACAGTCATAGGTTTTAAATCTGAGAACAGTAGCATGATAATCTAGTCTGACTCATCCATAACACAAGGCAAAAAGCTTCCTCACAAGACCCTTTATCATGTTGCAATTTCTGACTGAGCTATGAAACCTTCCAGGAATACAACCAGCCCTGATTTAAAAATCAACTGTGTGTACTGGAGAGACTACACCGCATCTTGGGTGAACTGACGTTCACAACAGTGAACTCGCTGTTGAAACGTGAAATTTTATTCTCAGTCTGAATTTGTACAGGGTCATCTTCTCTTCAGTGGATTTTGTAATGGGTTTGGGTTTTCTTTTCCTAGCTAGATGAAAACACCGCATTTCCCTCAGTAGCTACCTAATAACAGAGTGCAGAAGGGCTTGAATATATTTAGGAGCTTCACCCTCTGTAGTCTATCCCTACAAGGTGTGGTGTTCAGTGCTGGATCTTCCTCCTAACTCTTTTCTAAACTCTTTTTCATTTTTTAGCATTCCTTATGGAGCTGTAGGCAGTAGACAGATACATGTAGATTCATGACATTATGGTGCTGAGCACTGTGGCACGTATGCCGTAAGCATCAGATGCCTAGCAGCAGTCCTGGGCATACCAATCCTGTTGGCTAAAAGGTGCAAGAGGGATGTTGGCTGCTCAAGAACACGAGTCTTAAAAAACAAGAGTAATGAGTCAGCAGCTGGGCAGAGAGCGGCCCAAAACAGCTGACAGGAAATGCTGAAGAGAAACATGAGGTGTGAGCCCAACTACAGGAATACCTACAGAGGGATAAAGTTCACAGTTCCAAACCCTCTACTGGTGTGCAGTACCTAAATTAATTCTTTCCCACATAACACAGAAGCAGAAAGTGAAACTTTTATCTGCTTGACCACTGTTAGTACACTCTGGTGAAGTGGGAGATCACCTTTTTTCAAGTTCTTTCTTCTCTAACCACTCACCTTCAGAGTATTTGGCATGAGTGACCTGAAGCAGTCTTGTCTCAAATCATTCCATTTTGATGGAAGAACTGAACACTCTTCAAATCCCTTGAAGGAGAGCACAAGTGACTTTTTCTAGCCAGGCTTGTGTTGTCATCAACCATTTTCCCATAAGACCACTTTGGCTGACACTGTTCACATTAGCGTCCTTTGATTCTTTATTGATTGCATCCATGTCAAGTTTTTCATGCTCTCACAAGGATTCAGTGCCCTGCCATTCCTTAGATCATCCTGTTCAGGATCTTGGTACAATATTTGCCAAATATTTCCAATTTTCTGGAGCTGTTCCAGTCTTCCAGGGCTTATCAAAACCAGTGTTTTTGTCCAGAGAGTTCCTCAGTTAATTCTTTGAATACTCTTGAATAAAAATAGTATGACCATATTTAGAAATCATTTAATTTTAATAACTGAGGTTTTATATCCTCCCCTGTACTTGATGGAATATAAAGTGTTTCTTCACCGCTGCAATAACAAACAGCAAGTGGTTCAGAACTGTGTGTTGTTTGTATTGCTATAACCTTCACAGCAGCAAGAGCAATCCATAATTGTTTCATATTTTCTGTGACAAGAATACTAGGCATTGTTAATATCCATCAAAGAGAATATTTAATTAATACAAACACAAACACCTTACTTTTAAAAATAACGACAACTTGAATGTTACTGTTAAAAGAACAAGGCTTTGTTGAGCTTTTCTGAACAAAAAGGTACCCAGTTTCAGAAGAGAGCTGCACTGATCCTTGGAGCTTTGCTTGTTCTTCATGACTCCCTCAGGCTGTTTCCTTCCAGATAATGACTTCCCAGAGCCTCTCAAGTGACTTGCATCCAGTGTTTACTCAGTCAATTTTACTACTTTTACTACTTTTTTAGTACTTACAATTACTACTGTCAATTTTCTGATATTCTGTCTGTCTGTATCAGACTGAAGAAACATCTTTTCCTGTCCTGTAATGAGCAGGCTGGCCAGCCAAAAATCAAAGGCAACCTGACTAGTGACTGACTTTTAGGAGTCATGACTAGCAGGTCAATTTGTCCGGTTGCCTGAATATTTCTGTGCAATTGGTTATGAGCAAACTGCCCAGGGATCTTTTAAAAGCTGTATTGTATTCTGTTCTCAAATTCTAGGATACTGCAGGGATACTGTGTCTTGCTGCTGAACTTTCCCTCTTCCACAGAATTTTCTGTCCTGCCCTGTGTCCTTTCTCTGTAGTTGCAGGATTTCATACCTCCTGTGTTGACTTGTTGCATCTGTACTCGATGATCTTTAAGGTCCCTTCCAACCTAACCCATTCTAGGATTCTAGGATTCTATGAGACTGAAAAAAAAACCTGTCTACTCTCAATTCCCTTATAGAACTTATTTTGGAGCTGCCATGCTACTAATTTTGTCCAGTTTTGGAGCTAATGTCAACACAACAAAAGCCTCATACCCACCCTGGTAGGTGACACACACACATCTGAGCAAAAATTAAGATTCCCCCAAACCTGAAGGTTGCTCCAACGCCAGAAAATCCAGGATGTGGGCAAAGGGAAGTGTGAAGTTCCCCCTCATGAGTTTTCTGAGATTGCGTTTCTCAAATGCTGGGTGGAAGGAGGACAGCAGAACAGAGCTTTCTTACCCAAGGGGGTAGAGGCCTTGCTCCAAATACTACAGCAGTTCCAGGCAGCGAGCTGCTCTGGTGCAGGTTTTGTCCCACACAGCCCGGGCTCCCTTGCTGTCTGACCTTGGACTTGCTTGCAGCAGGGGGAAGCAGGGGCTTCGCAAGGCCAGGGGAACTCTGGAGGAAACATAATACCTTCCCAGCACCCGGGCAAAGGGAATTGCGAGGCAGAGAGCAGCCTCAGCCCGCTGCCTCACAGCACGTCACCTGGCCCTGTGTCCCACTAGCAGCGGGATTTCTGTGCATGATTCCTTTCCCATCTCTGCACGCCTCCGTAACCCCAAAGAAAACATGAAACACAATCTGGCAGGGAAGCATTTTGCTGGCAGAAGGTGCGGTCTCTGTTGAGCTCTGCTTCGTGCATGCGCTCGTATCCTCTTGTTGCTTGCTCACTGCTTTGCAGATTTACCAAAAAATTATCAGAATCAGAAGGTCACGCAACTGCCCTTATAACATATGTTGAGACGCTGCCAAAAGCCATGATTGCTGAAAAGTGATAGTTTCTCAACTGGTGTATCCAGTTCCTTATTTTTCTGAAAGTAGAACGTGGAACTAGAGAGCAAGCTGCATAATTCTTAGTATTAGATGTATCTACAATATGTTAGCAGTCAGATATGAGAACACAGCAATAGCAAATTATTGCATATATTGATGAAGAGGGATTTTGAGTAGGTAGTTGTTGCAAAAAGAAGCTGTTTCAAGCAAGATCTATCCTGGCAAAAAAGCTGAAAGAAAAAAAGGAGGTGGCTACTAGTTAGAATTATAAATAGTGTTTTGCATAGTTCTATGCAAATATCACATAAACAGATTCAAACACATTCAAAATTTATAACATCAGTTTCACTGGCTGCACAGAATAAATTAAGTCTTTTTTTTTTTATGTAAATAGGTTTTATGACGAGATATGAAAGAAAAATTTTTGATGACCTTAAGTCTCCCCACCTTAAATACTGGGTGCCATTTGTCTGGTTTGGAAACTTGGCATCAAGGGCACGAAAAGAAGGAAGAATTCGGGACAGTGTAGATCTGCAGACACTGATGAACGTAAGTAGAAAAAGTAAATCTACAGAAAACTAATCTGGAATTGCTATGTGGTAGCTTTTCACTTATATAATTTGATTTAGTGCACACAACTCTCTACTGTCATCTAAATGATCTTACTCAAGATCTATACCTCTTTTCTGTGTGTACCCATGTACACTCAAGCACACACAGCAGCAGGTCACTGGGACTGTATTTATATGACTAAGAAGGTATTAACTGAAGCAACAAATTGATGAGTAAAAAATTAATGTAATGTCATTGTAAATTCATACTTGTTCCAGTGCTGCAGGAAAAAAAATGAGAATAATTTGACATTTTGAAGATTTTAGTATCAATTTCAGGGAAGATAATCTCTCTGAATATTTCATTAAGTGGTCAAACATCTTTTTATGATATAATATATTCTCTTTCATGTATCACTAGGCTGTAGATAAAATAGAAACAAAAGATAATTTATGAAGAGGTACATACTATAGTAAGCATTCCAACTCCATAAAGTAAGTGAATATCCAAACCTGACAATGGGGTGCTTGATATAATTATGACATAAATTCATATATACTGCACTTTCTTATTTTCCTGTCTTTTTACATGAGTAAAAATGAATTGTAACAAAATCTTTATCATTTAGAATTTAACCTCATGCAGATTTAGTTTGTTGGTTTTTTTATTTTTCTTTTTTTTTTCCTTGTAGGAGATGAATAAGTACCGGTCTTGGTGTAGTCTTTTGTTTGGTTATGACTGGGTTGGAATTCCACTGGTCTATACCCAGGTACTGAGACATTACCCTTTACAAAATTTGAAAGACAGTTTCCAGAAAAGGGGAGTTTGGTGCAAAACATCCATAGACTCAACCAGAATCTCTGAGCTGTTGAGCACTCATTGACTCCCATGGGACTATGGACACCTGGCTGACTATTTTAGTCACATTTAATGCAGAGAGGTTTTCAAGGCCTTGCATAATTTGGGAGCGGGGAGGGAAGCACTGAAATGTTTTTCCTGGGCCTTTTTCCTGGCTATAATTGACAGGCTGAGAGAGTTGGGGTTGTTCAGCCTGGAGAAGAGAAGGCTCCAGGGAGGCCTTACAGTACCTGAAGGGGGCCTGCAAAAGAGATGGGGAGGGACTCTTTATCAGAGAATGTAGTGATAGGGCAAGGGGTAATGGTTTTACATTGAAAGAGGGGAGATTTAGATTAGATACTAAAAAGAAATTCTTTACTGTGAGGGTGGTAAGACACTGGAACAGGTTGCCCAGAGAAGCTGTGGATGACCCATCCCTGGAAGTGTTCAAGGCCAGGCTGGACGGGGCTTTGAGCAACCTGGTCTAGTGGGAGGTGTCCCTGCCCATGGCAGGGGGTTGGAACTCGATGATCTTTAAGGTCCCTTCCAACCCTAACCATTCTGTGATTCTATGATTCAATTATTCCCATGGCCTCTCTATTTGTAATACCTCTCCACAGAATTGTAAATGATACAGGGAAAGGCAATTAAAGGGCTTTGGGTATTTGTTGCCTTATGCATAAGATTGTATGATTGCGTGATTTCAATGAAGTTTTGTTCTTTGCAGGTTGTTACTCTCGCAGTCTATACTTTTTTCTTTGCCTGCCTGATAGGGCGCCAATTTTTGGATACTGACCAAGGGTATCAGGGACATGACTTAGATCTTTACATTCCAATCTTCACGCTGTTACAATTCTTCTTCTACGCAGGATGGCTCAAGGTAAACTAGTTTTCTGGAAAGGTCATGGGGGAACCAACCCTAGGGGAGCTGGTGAAGGTGTCAGAGCTGATGTCAAGGTGTCATATTTACGTCATACTGTAAAATCACTAAAGATTAATGGAATTACAGCAAAACTGAATTGAGCCAAAAGTGTCCTGTGGTCATAAAGATACATCACCCAATAGGTTTTTAATTCTACCTGCCAGATCTTACAATAAGAAACAGTTGGGAACCTGAAAGAGCCCATTTTAACAGGACCAGTGCAACCACAACTCCCCAAAGAAGTATTACTCCAGCAAAATCAGGGCCTAGGACTTGAGACTATAAAATGACAGATGAACGATTAGAAAAAACACTCCACTGTGTGATGGGGAAATATTGCTGCAGACCTGGCATGGGCAGAAAGGGACTGAATCATACTTTCTTTTTATGATCAAAGCCAGCCTTTAGTATCTGCTGTGAACTTAATCAGATGCAGGCAATTAAAGGTTTCCAGTTCCAGGGGGCTATCAAACAGTGACAGCCAATATTGGCTACAACCCCACCACATGAAAACGTTCATTAAAAAGAAGAGTTATAGAAGGAATTGGATGCAACCCATTAGCCCGTTGATGCCTGGTCAGTTAACATATCACCATCGATCTGATAGTTGAGTAATTAAGCCACCTACCTCACGGCGGTTCTCTCCTCTGCAGGGAGTATCAAGGTAGACTAACTGGAAAAAAGTTTCAAATAAAAAGCAAATTAGTACATTAAGGTCCATGTGCATTAAAGATTTCCTTTGGGTATTATTAATCATGGCTGGAAACTTAGAGCTAACTTTTCTGTTAGGATATAAATTGCACAAAATTGGCCAGTTTTAGAGCCCCCTTCCCACAGCCAGCTCCAAACAGGGTGGAGCAGAGAAGGCAGCACAGCGAGCTGGCAGATCGCAGGGGACAGTAAAATGCCTGCAGGGCAAGCTCCTGAGTCCTGTGTCCCAGGAAACTGGGAGTGAAAAAGGAGTTTGCCTCTTAGGGGGGACCAACCCGGAGGAGAAGCAGGAGAGAGAGGAGGGGAGGCTGGCACAGCAGGGGCAGTGCGCTGCTCCTGCAGAAACAGGAGGCTTTATCTCTAGGCAATGTCTTCAGGGGTTTTACGAGTGGGATACAAAACTGTAAGCTGTTCCTCATGACCGCCCTGCTGGTGCTCCTGAGAGGGGAAAAGGTTTCCACTTCATCAACACCCGAGGCTGCCATAGCATCTCTTCCAGTTAGGCTCAGGGCTTCCAGCCAACGCCTGGCTATGGCAGGCAGAAGGTGCTGTTGTAACTGAAAAAACTTCTGCATAAGGAAATGAGATAGAGGGGAAGCAGTTTTAAAAAGCACATTTAATATATCAGCAGTGCTCCCTCAGATGGGAGGTTTGTCCGAATCTGCAGCCCCCGAGTCAGGATATTTCTGTCTTGAAGGTTACAGCCGGTTTCCTGCTGAGTGCCTTGGGCTTTGGCTGCCAGGCTGCAGAAAGGCCCCCGAGCTATTGACTTCCAGTAATTTGGCAATTCCTCAGAAATGATGGCTAAACTGAGCTCATTCCTTGGCCTCGGGCCTGGTTTGTTATACCTACAATACAGGGGCAAAGTTTCCTATACATGAAACTCTTCTAAATCACCATTTTCATTAAGAGGATAGATGGACCATCCAAATACAGGGCTTAGTTGTACAGCACTACATTCCTTTCTGGAGAATAAAGTCCTGTCTGACATGCCAGAACCAGGTCAGTCAAGCAAAAGACCATGCCTGCTGTTCCTTCTGTCCCACTCTTGCTCACTTTTTTCAGCTCATGTGACAGTTTTCGCAGTGGATTTTTGGGTGCTGATCCCCCAGTTTACACTGAGTTGATCAGTGTCTTCCCTGGAGAGCCACAACACGCTCTGGCTCATTCCTATTGCAGCACTTCCATGGCTATACCCAAAATTTAGAGCCATGGGGCAGGCCAATGAGTGTGAGCAGAGGTGTCCCCTGTCTTCATTTTGTTCCTCTTGCCTTGCAGGTGTTTTTGTCATGTTAGTCTGCTCAGCAGTTCATGTGTGGTCTTCCACCACCAGCCTGGGAAGTAGTGGTCTAAGAGTCAGCAAGTGCTTACCCACTAGTACAACCTAGAAGCACATAGGAGTAAATAACCAGGGAGCGACTAACTTAGTGTTATAAGTTATTTAGGTGATAGCCATCCATAGCAAGGTTCCTGAGGAAGGCAGTTAAATCATACAGTCGCTCCAACCATACCCACATTAAACTGAGGACTGGGCCACTGCTCCTGCACATGGCCTTGGTGACCACCAGGAAGCCCTTGGGAGGGTCAGCAAGAATGTGACCTGCTTCCAATCCAGGGCTTAAAAAGACAAACAGGAAGAGAAAAGCATGAAGGGGAAAGGATATTTAACCTCAGTGTAGCAAGGAACTGGGAAATAGAGAAGCAGTCTGAATTGCCTAAAACCTTTTCTTTTTTTAAATTTTCCTATTTCATCTTTCTTTTTTCTCCCTCAGCAGCTGTGAGTTTTCTCCCCACAATGTACTTAGGTGATCATGGGGGTGCAGGGGGTCAGTCTCTGGTTGTTTTTCCATTTATTTATTCCTTTGGGAGAGGAAGCACTGGATAAGGCTATGGGCAGCCAGAGGGGTTTCCTTTCCCAGCCTAGCTCCCAGACTAAGGCACCTCACCACAAAGATGCTTGAGCTCACTCTTTGGTTGTCTCCTCCACAGGATGGGTTTCTCCCCTCCAGTTTTAGTCAATTCACGGACAGAAACCCAAAACAGCAGGCTGAATTAAACAAACTCCTGTCGCTTGGCTTTGGCTAGCATGATGCACGGCATCCACTTGACTCAAGTCTTGTGGTGGGCTGCTTTTCCTGAAAGCACCACCACTGACAAAGAAGCAGGGGCTGAAGGCTGAGCTGGAGAGACGAGCTGCACTCCCCCCAGCAGATCCCAGCTGCAGGGCTCAGGAATGCTGACCCAATGGGCTGCCGAAGTATCTTAAGCCATAATGCAATAACAGAGCCTCTAGCTGCTAAACCATTCATTTAAATCAGCCCAAGACAACGGCAAGGGAAAGTAATGACTATCTTATGTGACAATTACCGTGGCCCAGACGTGTCTCGATTCCCAGTAGGCCCGTGCCGACAATCATGATTGACAGCACCAATGAGGCACCGAGGTACGAGTCCATGGGGAGAGCAAGCTGCTCCTTCCCTGGGCGGGCAAAACCATCACACCGAGCTTATCCTGTGATTGCAAGTGACAGGCAGGGAGAGGGAGGAAAATCAGATCCTATTTTCTCTGCGGCAGCGGTCCTGACATGGCATGCCAACCCCTATTCACTGTCTCGTTTTCCTTTCAGGTCGCTGAACAACTTATTAATCCATTTGGAGAAGATGATGATGATTTTGAAACTAACTGGTGCATCGATAGAAATTTACAGGTTGCTGTGGTTATTTCTTCTTGCAGCTTTACTGTACTATATATTATCATTACATTTAACCCTATTTCTTATATCATGGTACAAATTAAGGGCAACAAGTGTCATCAAAACAAATTCTTTCCCTGAAGGAGTATCTACGGCTGTGATCCCCAGATTTTTTTTTTACAAGCTAATGCATCCTGATGCAGGTATTTGGCATTTCTTGATGCCTGACTAAACATGCAAACAGCTGACCTCAAACTATAAGCTCACTTTATGCCTGGAAAAACACATAATGTAGGTTAATCCTGCAAAATCCAAAGCTGCCTATTCCCCCAGAGATGAGAACACGTTTTGCTAATCTGAATGTCTAGAGATTATAATATTGTATATGATTTTTCCTTTTAAAAAAAAAAATGTAGTAAAGGTATCAAAAATACTTTTTGAGCAGAGCCCTGAATTAATAATCGGGGCCCATACCATGATTCATGTGGCGATGCTGCCACCCACGGCAGCATCTCCAGTCAGCACAGGAGCCAGTGTCATCAGTGGCAGGAGCTGTGAGATGGCCAGGGCAGAGATTTACTGCAGTTACCCCTGATTCCCAAACATCCCCTGTCTGTCATGCTATGAAGGAGCCCAAAGACATGAAGAGGTCCCATGGCACCCGTTGCCCTCCTTGCAGGTAGAGCCAAGAGTAGGGTTGAGCTGCTGGTGGAGCCCATGTCTGCTGGGGACCACTGAGCCTGCAAAGCAGAGCCCAGGTGTTAGAGGGAGCATGGGCAGGGCAAGCAAACCAGGATATTCAGCAAAGCAAGCAATGCAGGTACGCACAGGAGTGGGAGAGGCCTTCACGCTGCCAAAGATGTTCTCTGGCTTAACACCACTGCGGGCTACTCATGCTATGGTGCTTCAGAGCCCTTTGTATAAATATATTGGAAGGCCCTAGAACAGGTTGGTCATGTACTTAGTTCTGAATGTCTTTAAATGTGGACAAAGCCTATTGGAAAGCTTCTCAACCCCTGGAGATTTTTCAAGGAGTACAACTAATACTCTACACAGATTTCCCGTAGCACATGGAGGATCACATTTCCATTTAACTACATCATGCACAAGGAAAGGACTTCAATCTGATACAAATAGTTTTGCAACGTGGAAGACTCAAGTTACAATAAATTTTATGCTTCATTAGTACAGGAGGGCATAGGTGGCATATGTCATAATACTGAGTCTCTTCCCAGTGCCCAGGCCAGCATTTTAAAGGGTTTCTGAAGGAAATGTTGACCCAGAGAGCATAAAGCAGATTATCTTGTATACTGTACTATGTTGAAAGTGAAATGATTTATACCCAAAAAATCTAAGGTGTCACTTCTGGCGGTGGACGAGATGCACATGAACTTACCAAGGATGGAGAAAGATATTTACTGGAATGATTCCTCTGCCCGGCCACCCTACACAAAAGCAGCTGCTGATTACTGTATTCCTTCTTTCCTTGGATCAACTATTGAAATGGGGTGAGTGGCACCAATGCCATCAGAAACATCACCACCCCTACAGCCCATGTTGACTGACGGACAGTCAGTGCAGGGCTGCGGGTTGTGGCGATCCTGTGAGTGGGGAAGATGGAGATGGGAAATTATGCTACTGGGAGGGAGTGGACAGGCTGGTATTGGTGGGATCATGTCTCCAGTAGTCCATGTGCTCACATGAATAGTGCACCCGCTGCTTGAATCATGTAATTAATAAACAGAGTATGTTTGCAGGGAGGGTTTGGTGATAGTCTCTGAGCACAGGATGGCACCTGAAGACAGTGACTGACTTTTCTTAATAATTTTTTACTCACTACAGGTTCTTCGTACACCCCCCAGTTAGAAAAATAGCTATTCCTTGGCTTGTTTTGTTAGCAGATGATGGCTAAAATCAGTCCAGATTTTTGTGAAGATAAACAAGAAATGAACATTAATGTTGTATGACTTTTCATTAACTAATAATCTAGAGATGGAAGTTGGAGCAGTCAGATGTTGTGAAGGGATCAAAGAATTATTTACAGACATCAACACAAGAGCCACCATTATAAAGAAACATATAGAGGATATAGGATTGCCCTTTGTTGTCAGGATCTATATGAGAAAGCAGTGATAGGCCAGTTAGCTTAGAACTGCTGAGTTTAAACACTTGTGACATGTTGTAATATAGAACAGGTCAGCCAGTGTAAACACCACCATGCCTGAACAAGTAGACATTTTTATCTGAAAATCTTTTTTAAAACTTCATAGTAGCCATTTTTTTAACTTTAAAACTTGTCCCAAGAAGTTTTTAATTTTTCCAAAATTTTCCAGCCTTTATCAAAATAAAATATGCTTAAGTTTTTGCTTCATTTGGCATGGAAATAGGTGTTTTCTCATTTTTATTCCTCTTATTTTTCCATTTTTGCATGCATTCTATTACAAAGAACAATAGTCTATATGAGTTCCTTTTATCACACACAGTCTTTTCAGAATTTATTTCCTTCTGGAAAAGCTATGAAATGGCCGAAAGAAAAGTAAAGAAGAAAGTGAAAAATAAAGAAGAAAAACTGATAGAATATAATTATTTTGCTGCAATTGCTATGGGGGGAAAGTGGAAAAGAAGAAACATTATTAAGTCTGCAAACAATTTTTTAATAAGAAGCACTTCACACAAAAAAATTAATGGGGACTGAATGAAATTTAGCTCCATGTTAGCCCCTGTGAAATCCAAACAGCTCTGATGTGTTGACTTTGTTATTAATTACATTCTCCTCTGAACTGTTTCTCTGTTCACTCCTCTTAAAAAAAAAAAAAAAAAAAAGGGGGTAGTTATTATGCAGACTTCAAAAACAAGGTATAAAGATTCATCTAAGTCCAATATAAAACTTAAGCCCAATCCAAAGTCTTCTCCAGGCCCCTCAAGCCAACATGAGAAATAGGTTGCTCAAAGACATGGTAGATGCCCCATTCCTGGAAATATTCAAGGTCAGGCTGGATGGGGCTCCAAGCAACCTGATCTGGTTGAAGATGCTCCTGCTCATTGTAGGGGGGTTGGACTAGATGACCTTTAAAGGTCTCTTCCAACACAAATTATTCCATGAGCTTCACAAATGCTGGATGAAGTTCCTCTGCCCCTCTAAGTTAGCGTTGCCTTCTGTGCTCCTCATCTCAGATTTGGCCCAAGCCCCTTTGCCATCCTTGCCCTTAGGACAGGCAATTGGGCCAGTTTGGCTTGTCTTCTGGGGTGCACTGAGACAGTAATGTGTACTGAATTGCCTGGCAGATGCAGCGGTAGTTGTTCTCATGAACCACCGAGGCTGGGCAGGAGAAGAGTATCAGGTACAGGTGGGAATTTCAGACACACTGTCATGCCCCAGAGGTAAGTGAGATTTGGCCATCTCAGTAATTCCAACATTTTTTGAAACCATTGCACTCTGCTTCCAGGAGCAGCTTTTTTCCGTTGTTATTTTTGCCCCAAGGATTCTCCTGAAAAAGTATCCACAACGCCCAGCAGGGTTTATTTCTCCCCTTTCCCTCACCCTAAGCACAAGTCTAACCATATGGAGCTGCCACAGAGGGCTGCAGCCCAAATACAAAATGGTGCCAGATGTCTGGCTGGATGCTCTCCAAGCATGGTCCTCAGGAGAAGAGATACCTGGATGTGGAGAGCTTTCTGTGTGATCTGGCTAGTCCAAGGGCACGGGCAGTATTTCCTGGCACCCTCACCCCTTTTTCGCCCCTTCCATGCCCTTCCTTGGGGACACACTAGGGCCTTGGTTCCTGTGTCTTCCTGCTGAGACAGCAGGATATATGTGCATACAGACCACATGCTTCCTATACGTAAGTGACACCTACTCCCTGGCTTTGTTTGGCAGGCTGGCTGATACCGAATTCCTCTATGGGGAAGAGTGGCCCTGGGAAGAGGAGAAACACCGAAGACAACGTTCAGTGCTGAGAAGAGTCAAGAGATTTCTCAGCGTCCATGAGGGCCCTTCGTCCCCAGCTCAACGGCGCTACAGTCGGCAGACAAGTGAGAATTCGGTGTTTTTCCCAGCAGATGAAAAAGGGCACATCAGACGGTTGCAGGAAATGCACACAAGAGGGAGACACTCCACCTCGAGCTTCAAGAAGAAACATGAAGGAGTTGACAGAAGTAACAGACTTTATAGTAGCAGAGATCTAGGACCCATAACTGAAACCTCAAGGAATGAGGCACAATTCGGTGACAGTGACACATCCGAGACAAACAAGCCAGTTCCTGAGGTCATCATCTCTGAAGCCGAGGAGAAAGCACCTGATGTGCTGGGCAAACCAGACCTGCAAAGAGAGCGCACCGCAAGCATGCCAGAAGAGAAGCTCCAAAGAAGCCTAACTGAGGAAAACGTGTCTCTTCTGGACCATCCTTTTTTTCCCCCAGAAATGACTGCATACCTCCCAGGCTCTGAGGTGCATCAGTCACTTCCTACTGTGATAGGGGAGCCCAAACATGAACCCCATGGTGGTAACATAGCTGGTTTCATAGCAGATCCTGAGAGAAACCTTCAGCGATGGAGTTTACCGAGCTTCCATAGTCATAGTACAGTGTCGAATGCTGACACTGCACAGCCTTTAACAGATTCTGGGGCAACTTCACAACAAAGGACCTTCAGTGATGGAAAAAATGTTACTTCTGCTGCTGCTTCAGAGATGTTTGAGATGCAGCACTTATGGGAAAATCTGGATAGTAAAGAAACAGCCATAGTAGAATTTTCTAATGAGAAAAGTGAAAGAAAACTTTGATCATGCTTCCCTGTGTTTGACTGAACTTATCTTCTCTTGAAAGTGGGTCTTACACAGTTTTGCCAAAAGTGCAGAAGGGCAGACACAATGCTCAGACAAGTCCTGAGCAAGATCCAACAAAGGATTTGGGCACCTAAATAGGAGGCATTGTGGTGACATGCTTTAAGTCAGTTGGTTGCTGGCTTGATATCTGTGACCCTGTGGGGAAAACAGTTATAGGGAGAACCGGGAGCCTCGGGAGTGGATACAAACCAGCCAGCACACATACAGTGAGCTGTGTAGGCTCACCTAGAGGAAACACTGAGGTTATCCACTTTGGAGCCACTCTGAACACTGCTACCTTTGGCTACTCCTTCAGATTAAGGTCTATGACATCCTTGTAAGACCTACCAACAGTTTTGTTTTCTACTCAGGTGGTTAGAAGGGGAGGTGTGGGCTCAGTTCCCTCCTCAGCCTGGAGTGATTCAGCCCACCATCTCTCAGTACCTGGAGGAACGCTTGAAAAATCAGGCTCTTCTCTTGTGTGGAGCACAACAGGCCTGCCCCATTTCTTCTGAACCTATGCCACCACTGAGTGGAAAATAAAAGGATTAAATGTTTAACTTCATTAAGAAAAATGGAAGAGGCAAAACTGTTGATGAGCTGGGTATGGGATGTCTGAGCCTTGATCTCTCCTCCTTGGAGCATGTACGTGACTGTTTATTGTAAAACACCCTTCTCAGGTGGCCTCCCCATTGATGACAGGGCTATGGCACCCTCTCAGGAGGTGATGGAGCTTCGGGGGCAACTGAGTTTAGGGCTCCACACTTGCAGAAATCTTCAGCTGGAAGCGGGTAGGCTGCAGTTGTCCCAGGAGGACAACCAAACAGCCATGGACTGCTACCAAAATTGCTCTCTGCTTCCTTCTCCTCTCCCTTGTTCCTATGCTGTCCAGACGTACCCCGCACGTTCTCCATTAACCCAAACCTGAGCCAGCATTAGATGGCTCCTGCTGCTCCAGGGGTGGCCAAGCCACCTCCCTAAACCTCCTGGTAACAATCTGGCCTTTCAGCTGTCACTCCTGTAAGAAGTCTGAAAGCAGCGGCAGCTCTTTGTTTTTAGCTCTCACCCGCATCTCCATGAATGCAATCCAGAGCATGATGCCAGCATTCCCCACAAGTAAGGATCCACGTAGATGGTCTGCCTAGACAAGGGAGCAACCAGGTAGCTCAGGGATTGTGAAGAACAGAGAGAGGGGGAGATGCAGAAAATTATGGGGGCTGCAAACGCCAGCAAGCAGTGTGGACTGTATGGGCAGCAGTCCACCCAGCTCTCTTGCTCAGAAGGTTGCACTTCAGACAACAAATCAGCATCTCTACCAGGGTAACTGGTAGCACCAGTGGCTCCTGGGAATCTTCAGGATTCCCTGAAGCTGGGAAGGGAGCAAATGAACCTGCCTGCTCCTGCTCTTCTGGCCAACAGCTTAGGTGAGGAGCCCTTCCAGTAGGCTATCACATTCAACAGGACTCTGCTATCTCATCTGGGTAGGCTTTGAAAAAAAATCAGCTGCCCTCCCCACTTGTACTTCTTCCAGCTTTGTTTCAGGCTGAGAACCAGCTCCTGTGGGTGTGCATTAGACATGGTCTGAGTAGTGCCATCCTTTCAAATCCTTCAAAGACACTAGACCAAAGCACATATATCCCTATCAGTTTAGGAAGCAGAGGACACAGCCCAAGGAAGAGCTGTTTAAACTCATATTATGGGAATTTCAGGTATGCAGAAAAACCAAGCACAGATTTCCCAGGCACCTATGGAGACACTTCTTCATACCATGAGATGAGGTGATGCTGGTGCCTGACAGTGGCTGAGTACTGAGATTTGATCACAGTTTTGGAGTAAGGCATTCTGGTGCAACTTCACCCTTGCCACTCAGCAACAAGTCCTCAGGCAAGTCAAGTTGCTATGCTCAGGTTTGACCAACAAACAGAACCTCAACAAAGTGTAATTATATTGAAATAAACAAGCACCTTAGCCTCGCAGTCCCATTTTCTGGATGGCATTTACTAGGCAAAGCCCAGCTTCTGGCAGCATCCTCCAGCTGTTCAGTCACCAGAGCTCCGGGCTGGTGACTCTCCCTGGGGAAGAGGATTCTATCAGCCTGTGACAATGGTGGAAATGCATAGTTTTTCCTTCCCTACATCAGCAGGGGAAAAAAAAGAAGAAATCCAGTGTTCCTTCTTTCCTCCCTATTCCATACTTCTGCTTTTAGCTGAAGCCACACTTCAATTCAATATCTAATAACTGTGCATGTCTAGGAAGGGCTTCCAGCTGCTGTGGGGAAAGTCTGGCCTATTATCTCACTCTCTCTTCACAATACATAAGCTTGGGGAACTGTGCTTCTTTCTGTAGGGAATTTAAGCCCAAAAAAAGAGATTACTTTAAGTGCCTACTACAAATCTGCACTGAGAGTCCAGTCCCACCACACCTCCTCACTCTCCTCCTTCACACAGCTTCCACCAGGGCTTAAGGTGTTGGAGCAAAGTACTCATCCTCCCTAACCCAGACATCAGCATGTTATTTTTCACTGTGAGGGTGGTGAGGCACTGGAAGAGGTTGCCCAGGGAAGTTGTGGACACCCCATCCCTGGAAGTGTTCAAGACCAGGCTGGATGGGGCTTTGAGCAACCTGGTCTAGTGGGAGGTGTCCCTGCCCATGGCAGGGGGTTTGGAACTCCATCTTTAAGGTCCCTTCCAACCTAAACCATTCTCTGATTCTGTTTCATCCTGGCACTGCTAAGCCTGAAGAAGCCTTCCCAGCTTCTCATCATCCAGCTCTGATCACCTTCTGTCATCATCTTCTCAGCCTGGCTGCTACCTAGGATGCACACTGCTGCTTTCCACAAGGACATTATACATCTCATAAGCAATGATTTTGCTGCCTCTCCCACTCGCTCTGTCAGCACTCCCTGGCCCAGCAACCGTGTTCATTCTTCCATGGAGGCTAAGGGTGGCCACACAGTAGCCATTAGGTAGATAAAAGCTTCAGTTAAGTCCCACAGAGGTGTCTATAAGACATGTAGCTGCATGTTAAGTTAAGAATGACAGCTCTGAAGTTGCACAATGTAATCTGCAACACACAAAAAGCATTTGCTAGCTATAATATTTCTTTCATTGTTTGTGAAGAAGCTAGTGTTGGGATCAGTTACCAGAAAAAAATTCCTCTCATCATTTAGTCTGTTATCTCACTTTTGCAAGCATCTGCAGCTTCCGACTTGTATTAAATTATCTTTTGGGATTATGTGCTCTCTTACACGCTTCTCTCAGTAAACTATTTGCCTTAGCACAGTAAATGGACTATTTTAGCAAACCCAACAATTTATGGTATATGTTCACCGGTATAAACAGTGTCAAATTATTGCATGAATAAAGGCACTTTGAGAAACACAGTCGTCCTGACTGTATTGAACTGTCAAGAAGCAGTTCTGGCAAAGGTTTGACCTACCACACAAGTCAACTTGATGTCTGCCAGGAACAGGGAGGCAGACCTACAGAAGTTGGCAAGACCGAGGAAAGAATAAGGCCAGGATAGACCCACAGGTCAGAGCAGCAGCTTGCTCCCATCAAACGGTGTTAATCTTGAGCAGGATGAGATACATCAGCACAAAGAGTGGGTTGGTCCCTGCACGCACTGCCTGACTTTCCACCTGTTTCTAGGATGTGTCCACACACTGCACTGGAATTTGTAGAGCAAATGTCGGTGCAGGGACCAATCGGCTGCAGTGACATGTCCCACCACCCTTAAAATCCTCCACCATAAGTAACAGATCTCTAACTCTGACTGCAAGCTCATGATTGGGGAATATGTATGTATTTTAGAAACAATGGAATTGTACCAGCGAGTTAAGTCTGCCGCACAGTAGAGAAAACAAAAATACCTTGCTGCTGTGAAATGAGTGATAGGGCTTTATAGATGTTTGTTTGTCTTGGTTTACGATCAAACAAATGACATTTTCGAAACAAGTCATCAGCTCATGGTCACTCTGCTCTTTAGGAGCGAGATGGACAAAGGGGAAAGAGGGCAAGATTGGCCTGAAATACATGGTAACTTTGTACAGCTCAATCTCGTCTGCAAATAGAGACAACTGGCAGCAGAGTCCCCGTGGTTAGAGACCAACAGCCTGGATGCCAACTGTGTAACACAATGTGGCTGCAAATAGAGAGTTGTGAAAACACACACCGGAGAGAGGGAGGATTTCATACTGGAAGGCAAGATCAGTATTTCAGAGATACCTACAGGCAAACTCACTTTAGTAGCACTTATGGAGTCTTACAACTGAAGCCTTAAAACATAACGGGACTGCAATGGTAATGCTGCCGAGGCAACTAACAGATGTTGCATTTGGTCTGTGCTAAGCACATCTGGACAGGCGGGCCCAGCAAGTCCCCTGGGGCCACCAGTCCCTTCTCTGGCGATGTCAGACCAGTCTCCAGCTCCCCACAGCCCTTCCCTGCCTCAGAGGTACCTGGTGCCTGGAGCTGCCAAGATGTTTTGGGGCTTTAGGGGGAGACAAGCAGCCCCAACACGTCCTCCTTCTCCTGTGCAGGCCACAGAGCACACTGGATTTTCAATAGGTGTTGCACCTTCTCTCTCCTCACCCTCCTCTCCAGCACGGGAACCACTGTGAGACAACACAAAATGAAAGTGAAACAGCACAAAGACCAAAGCAAATTTTGCTTGGTTGAGTTTTATTCACGTGTACGGGGGCAGCGTCAGCTTTAGCAATCCAGACAAATACTCTAACGGGTACAATTTAGGTGAACCTTCTTTTGCCAAATCAGCGCAGCTCCCTGGGGTGGTTTCACACCTCTGCCAGCGCTGGAGCTGCTGCTGCCACAGACAAGAAGTGGCTGAGCAAAGGGTGGTAGATGTTCAGTGCTGGTGTGTTGGTCTCTTAACTCATCTGAGGTGGAGGGACACTGTGGTATCCCTTTGGAGCTCCTTCTGCAAGGGTCTCGGTCTGGGTTTTGGAATGCAAATAGATGCTGCTCCCAGCTGCCCGCACTGCCAAGGGGCAGAGGTGACAGATGCTAAAAGCAGCAGCTGATATAAGACGTTAGATGCTGAGACCCAAAACAGGAATAGAAAAGTGTCAGGGGAGAATGAACCCAAGACAAAAAGCAGGTTGGAGAGAGAGTGTAAGGAGCAGGAAATTGTGCACAAGGAACAGTAGTGGAAATAAGTGGTCATGCAGGCATCAGTCAAATTCCTCTTTATATAAACCGGTTGGAGCAAGCCCATATAAAGAGGATTTAAATGGCACAAGGAAATGAGGTTGGACAAAACCTCAACCATAGAGAATACTGAGGAAAAGGGAAGCAGTAGGAAATGAAGTGGAAATTAGCACACAAGAATCAAAAAGGATACCCGGACCAGACCAGACTGGGATTAGTTTCCTCCATTCATAACTGCCTGACACTGTTCAGCATTTTTATCCCTCCTGCTCTTTTGCAAATCTGAGTGCTGAGCTGTTTTCACTTCATCCTGAGAGCCGTGGTGTCATTCAGTTATTGAGGAAAAATGGTTTCTCAGTTGTAAACATACAGAAATTGAACCAATCTATATAATTTGTGGCAAGGATCGCTCCAAAAATCTTTAAACCCTGGGGAGGGGGGAAATACACAACTGCATTTCGGTCCAGAGTTTCAGTTAAAGCCCTTCTTCACACGTGTGTTGAAGATCATTACATTAATGTTCACATTAAGGCAGAATAAATGTTATTAAGACTCAATAGTAATCCTTCCTATGAACAGCTTTTGCAAATCCCACCCTGTCATTGCCACGGTCAAAAATGCAGTAAAACGCAGACATAAAGACATCTCCTAAAATCCAGAGCGGGCCGGAGCGAGTGGTGATGTCGAGAGACTGAAAGCCGCTCATGCAGAAGGTTTGGTCTTCAACAGATTCCTGGAAGGGAAAGCACGTGTCCCTGCGGCAGCCTGCCCAGCCCCGGCACGGGGAGCGAGGAGCAGGGGACAGGGAAGGGGAGCAGGAGGTGACACACACGCACCTTTATGACGTACTGCTCCGCTGTCAGCTTGTACTCGTGGTGCCCGATCGTGAAGCTGATGTGGGGCAAGCTGGAGAGTCTTCTGCAGTCTACAAGAAACTGGATGCAAGGCACTGATTGAGACGGGATAGGTTTGCCTTTTTTTGAAGTATTGCCCCTTTGAATTCAAGGCTTTTGAGGCAGGTAAGAGTGAATTTACTATGGAGAAACAGCATCGGGCTGTTATGGCCCAAGTTATGGCCCAACACTGCTTTCCAGCTTCCCAGCTCCTGCACTGGGTCAAACCAGCCCAGCAGCCCAGACCCCTGCACCAAAGCCCCGGGGACTCAGGGCTGATGAAAATCCTTGAGACCCCCAAAAGAGACAAGGTGAAGGGGGACTCTGACACGCCGCCTGTACAACTCAGAAGCAAAACTGAGGGTGTGAGCCCCAGTGAACCCAAGTTAGCAAGGTTTGTTGAGCAAAAGTCCTCTGATGCTCTCGGTGGAGGGAGTTGCCTCCAACCCACACAGCCCTGTGGCTGCAGCTCACCCCACTCCTTCCCATAATATCACTGTTTTAGTTAAAAAAAGGCCAGTGAGGAATACAGCACTTTATACTCATATTCTACCCTGGAGTGGGATTTAAAGAGCAGAAGGAGGACTAAACTCTGGCATGGTCATTAATTTTCATAAATAATACATTCACTTACAGTAACACAGAAGATCATTTCCTGGCCTTTCTAGTTATTTCATGAAACAACTGGCGTGTTAAATGGCACTGCAGAATGCTCCAAGCCCCAGAGGGATCTTTGCTGTAAATTGTAGTGTTTAAAGTCATTGTTTTAGAGGTTTCCTATAAGGAAGAATCTACTTTGTTGTTGTTGTTAAATCTGCTTTATGAAAACATAGCCCTAAATCTTGTGTATACTTATCAGGTGTCATACCACTAGAAAAAAATAAACCATGGGATACAGAAGACAAGGGTAAAAAAGCCAGTATAATGGTTCATAGGATAAAAGAAGCAAGACATAATTCATTTACATAGCCAGTATGTCCAGAACAAATTAATCCTCCCTGGAAAGAGATAAAAGTTCTGGTAAAATCACTGATGGATGCACCCACTTATACTGGGGTAAATTTAAGCCAATATACTCAGCTTGTCTGTAGTTGCTACAAAAACAGTCCTAGAAAGTCTTATTTTCAGGATGTGTCTTTGCAGAATCTGTGATGCTGGCTGAGTGCTCTTACATCAGCACTGGTGTATATAAACTTACACTGCAATGACCTGCTTCTTGTTTATATTACACTAATATTAAGTGCCTTGGAAAAACGTATTTTATCTCTATTCATTAGTATGTACCATTATAAACCCAACTTGTTATTAAAGTATATTGTTTGGCATTTTTCTGAAAATGTGAATAAAAGCAAAAGTTAAGGTTTAATTAAGAAAGAACCAGAAGCCTCATAAGTTACACAGATGCAACTCCAGGTCCTCCTCTTACAAAAGGAGGCAGATTACAAGTACACCTTGTCTTTGATCATTCCCCAGTGAACCAGGCAACCATAACACTCTCCCAAGTGCAGTTTAGGGTCAGGATCAAGACAACTGCAAAGTGAACAGCAACTGGACACGGAAGCTTTACTTGGGGCACTGGAGCTGTGGCAAGGTGGTAACTACCCGTGGGAGTCAGCCAAGGGCCAGCAATAAGGCACAGTAAAAATAAGCTGCTCTCTTCCCAAAGGCGTGTGGGGTTAGCTATCTCAGGCTCATTATCTCAGTGTTTCAGAAGTTATAAGGGTTCCATCATGCCATCTGAAAATTGCCAGAGGGGAGAGGTAAAGGGCAGCATAGAGGTGTCTCAGCCTGTCCCACAGGCAAGACACTGGGAAAGCCTGACCTACCTTGAGCGACCTCGGCTCACACAAGCTCCCCAGAGAAGCAGGGGGGGCTGGGGACAGCCAGGTGTGGGGCCAGAAAGCCAATGAAGCAGTACATCAAGGCTGCTTTGGGCCACTGGAGGAGGTGGAGGTGCTCCTCAGAGGGCAAGAAGAGGTAGGCAGTGTCAGCAAGGCGGATGCAGGAGAGAGCGGCAGGGAAGAAGAGGAGAAACAGTGAGGAGACAGATAAATACGATTCAGGAGAGAGAATGAGAGACAGTGAGGTCCATCCTGCACCCCGTGGCTCATCTGCCAGGAGCCAGCATTGTGAGCCTCACAGCTGTGCATGTCCCCTGTAGCCCCGGGCTGACTCTGCCTGTTCCACTGCAAGCTGACAGTGAGAGGTCCTGTCAGTGGAGCGATTGTCAGGCTGCAATTACAGTATCTTTCCCTTTCCATTTGATGCTGATGGGGCTGGCCGTCAGCACCGAACCCCTCCTGGCTCAGGGGAGTCAATGGCTATAGCTGGGGACATTAAAAATCCTCTGATTTTCCAAAAGAAAATTCTCTCTGATGTAGAGTACAGGTTGATTCCTCACACAGTTGCCGCCATTATTTCCTTACACACCACTGCTGATGAGTACAGGAGAGGACGTGGACATTTGGGAGGAGGGCTGGGGCAGCAAGGCAGATGGGTCCAAACCAGCTTGGCTCTGAGTTCAGTGCTTTCCTGGAAACAAGGCTTTCCCCGAGACCTTTCTGAGCAGTTATTTTCCCACCCTGTAAGCTCTTTGCACCAAAAATCAGTTTCTCTTCCTCTGTGGCTGTTTTCTGGCTGTATAGTTTTTACCTCTCCAGTATGCGATGGACTTGCCCCAATATACTCCTGCAATCGCCGGATTTGTGAAGAGGGGCCGGTGATAAGAGAAGTGCCTGAGTCAACGATGGCTTCGCAGCCGTGGGAGCAAAATGCCACCCGGCCCTGGATCTTTATACTGCAAGTAAAAAACAAAGCATCTTTAAGCAAATAGCAGGTACACTGTGACTGCAGCAGCATCTTATTGAGAGCTGAAGTACCAGAGTATGGACTGAAGTCAAAACTCTCCAACTTTGCCAGTCTTAAAAGACAAGACTGCTTTTAGAGAACAAGAAAGTAACAAAAGGGAACTGCATGAGGAAGATCTGCAGACCTGCTTTTCTTTCTTGGGACTCCTACAGCCCTAATCATTTGTCACCTGCTGACAAATTTGTCCTCACCCACAGGTGTGTGTCCTCATTGATGTACACGGCAAGAGGAGGAATGAAGGGATGCTGACTACTTTGTCCAAGGTTAACAGGAAAGATGAGAGCAGGACCTGGGGATGGATTCAGTTCCTTAACCTCAACTGAATAGCCCACCAAGAGTCAACTTGACCATTGGTGTGTCCTATTAAAACATGGTAAAATGCTGTCCCAGAAACCAGCTCCACATGTCACAGCAGATCTAGAGCGTTAATAATCTCCAGTCTCATCCTGGCAAACCTCGTCTTTGAGAGACACAAAGGTAAAACACTGCAGCCAAGTCCTCCTACATCTGCATCACTAGGTGTTTCTGCCTCTGCGGGTTGAAGCATTTTCCATGAGGTGAATTCCACCAGGTATTTAATACATACTTGCTCAGATGTATTTGCCAGTAGCTCTTCTCGGTGACTGGGACCCAGTGGATTGAACCTTTGTAGCGGGAATGGTCTATCCCTCCCAGGATCAACTCACCACCATTCTCAGTGTCATCTCCTCTGAAAGCAGAAGACAGGTTAACACCGACATGGAAGCGTTCCAGCACACGCCAACGAGATTACGGTTAAAAAGCAAAAGACAAACCACAGCCCTTTCTAAATTCAGATACGGATGGCTGAAGGGGATTATTTCTAAATTATAACTGCATATGTCCCAACTCAGAGCCTCCAAACAACCTCTGAGAAGACTTGCTATGGGATGCCAAGGGCTAACAGGCATCAGGGTTGAGCCAGTTGCTGCTCTCACCTCAGAATTAACCTCAGATAAATTGATGGAGTTACAGTTGGGTCCACATGAGGTTACAACATTTCTTGTCTGAAGTGTGGCTACCTGGGTGTAGCCTGGCATTTCTGTTCATCTCCACTGGCCAGAAGGAAACCTCCAGCAACTCAGACATGGTCAGTCTGAGCTGGGAGCTTTTCTTTTGTCTATGACTAGCTCCAACAAGAATAACTGTCCAAAAATTCATGGTCCTCCCCAGCACATTTTTCCTCTTCTCTCCATATTTTTCAGTGTCAAATTGAAAAAAAAGGAAAAAAGAAATGGGGAAAATTACTTTCTAGAACTGAAGATTTATACAGAGGCACGGTTGTCTCAACAACTGAAATAGATTTGCTTCTTTTTTGGCAGTGCCACTTTAAAGACTGACCTTTTCAGGTAGAAAGAGAAGACTGGCTCCTCTACCAGCTTCTGGTTCATGATGCTGTCAAACACGGGCAGAGCATTGCCCACTGCTAAGGAGGGATAGCCCAAGCCCAGCACGCCATCGAAGTGGGCAAGGGCAAAGGTTGTTCCTGGCTCAAACACCGACTCACCGAAGTCCTGTCCCTTGATGGAGATGTTACTTATCTGTTTGGTACAAGTGAAAGTAAAGACACCATCAATTACAAGAAATCAGCCACGTTTCAGATCCATATCGATAGATCCATTCAGTTTGTAAAGCCTGAGTATCCTCATCAATAAAACAGGTGCCCATTCGGCAGGTCGGCTGCACCGGTTCCTTTTAATACCTTAATTCTGTGGAAGTTTCTTCATAAACCCAGGACAGGACACAAGGAGAGAAGCAGAAATGCAAAATAAAAGCTTGGGGATTTGTCTGGGTAGCTCAAAGCCAGGTCAGCACCCCAACCTCTCAGTACCCAGCTTGGTGAGACCTCCCCTTGCACTTCCCTAAACCAGGGAAGGTTTTCCAGGGCAAGGACAGTCTCCAAACTGCCGTGGAAACCTGGCTGACCTGGAGGCTGACACCGTCATTAGGCGGAGGCTCACCTGCAGCGTGTCTTTGCCAGCGATGCCCAGGAGCTGTCCCGTGCCGTACTGCAAGGAGAAGGCTTCCCCTCCGTGCTCATACGAATCCGACAGGAAGGACTTAAATTTCTGGTGCACCCCTGCACAAAAGAAACGACACTTGTGGACCGAGGGGAGGTCCCAGCAGCATCCCCGAGAACGAACCAGCCGAGACGCAGGAGAGCCAGGTTTTTTGCTTGTCTTGTGAGGAAGCTGTCAATGGATATTTTTTTTCTGTTTTCAGAATACTTCAGGGGTTTTAAAGGCAAGTGGGAAATACAAACAAAACAGGGCGTTTTCATGGCTATCTGCAACTCCCCCAGGATTATTTTCATGCCTTTCACCTCATGGTGTGGAGGGATGCTTGGCAGCTGCTGCCGGCACCTTCCCTGGCTGTGGGGTGGCACAGAGGGGCAGAGATGGAGGAGCAAGCTGGGGAGGGGACAGCGGAACCTCGGAGGTTCTCCAAATCCTCCCCTCCCAAACCCCTGCGGCAGGGGGGCCATAGGAAAGGAGAAATGGCCGAGGTATCCAAAGCACGAGGAGCGTGAGGGAGGGTAACATTTCTTACTGCACGCTTCACTGATGCAATAAGCAGAAGGGACCCAAAAATTGGAGGATCCGGTGTCAAACACGACGGTGAACCTCTGGGGCGGCGTGCCGACGCTCACAACGCCGTAGTACTGCGCCTGGGGGAGGAACAACCCCGTCAGCCCCAGCCTGCCTCCCCCTGAGCTAGTCCTGAGGAAAAGGCAGACTTGGGGGCGTCACCCAGCGCTTTCTCAGGGAATTCGGTGCAATTTCATCTAAATTCATGTAACTGCATGCCAGAGGGAGGCGAGTCTGGCTCCACGAGTGGCTGTGGGCCGCAGACCTCACTCCGTCTGCACAGATAGCAGTGTGGGGTTCTCAAAGCCTTTCAAGCAAATGCTCAGATGGGTTCCCCATGAAGTCAGTGAGCCCTCTTGCCCCATTTTCAGTGGTTGCAAGGTCAGCCCCAAGACAAAGCTCTTGCATGACCCTCCAGGCTTCCAGGCAACTCCCTGCCAGTGTCAGTAAGAAATCAGTAATACCAAAACACCACGACCTGCCTCTGCCAGTGTCAAAGGGCTCCAACCCGCAGCACAACTGCTGTCACAGGTGGCTGGGCTCTTTCCTTCATTATTAGCAGCTATTAGCAAGTTAGAAAATGAATTCTTGAATTCTGTTGCAGGGACTGTATCTAACATACTGAACAAAGTTCATCCAGTGGACAAAGACACCACTGACCATCCTTGGATACCAATTGAGGGTAGAGATAATCTGTGAACATGTGAATGCTGGAGTGAAGAGCTTATCCACATCCCGAATGAAAGTGTCTAAGTGGCCCTATCTGGCCCTGGAAGAGCACTTCAGCATTAAGAGACCTATTTTTAGGAAGAGGCATTTCTGGAATTCAAACGCAGATAGAAAAGCAATACCCAGTGCCAAGCCTTTTGTAGCAATAGAAATATTTGAATATGTATCTTCAAGTGCATACTTGTTAATTAATACACTGAATACAGTTTCTGATCCTGGAGTTTATGGCCTGAATGAGATAATCATGAAAATGCAAGCATGAGTGCTGTTTAAGAGAATATCCGGCTATAAAGTAGGATTTTATTCCTTCCTGTATTAAAAAAACCTTTATTGATTAATCTGTGAAGTGAGGCAGCCCTGAGACATGTTGGTAAAAAAAAAAAAACAAACAAACCCCCAAACTCCCACAAACACACCATACTGAAACCTCCACAAAATCGTTCCTGGTGCTAGCTGGATATGCTAACTGTGAGGATTTTAGTTTGTTATTTTGATACTTATCCCTCTTTGATAAGCTTTAGAGCAGGCTGAAATATTTTAGTCTACTTTTTACTTCTTCATGCGCATCTCTAGCTCCTCTCAATGTATTTATTTATGGTCCTCAAGCATGAGCAAGTTCTTGCTGAATTAATTTGCCTTTCCCTTCCCTATTCAGATGCAGCCTCCACAACATTTCTACAACCTACCTTTCCTTTAGATAGGCGTAACAGAAGAACCAAATAAAACAGGAAACAGAGACCAACCAAGCAGACAGAATGCTAAACCCAGGAGTTTACAAAATGGTTGACCTGCTGACTTGCCTGTCTGAGGTCTAATGAAACTCATATTTTTCCTTTCTCAGTTTAGATGGTAAATGCAGCCAGGTTAGTGTGAGATCCAGGTTGGTCTCTAATATTTAACACATATTAAGCTCAAGAGATAAAAGCAGAAGGATAAACATTCTACTTGAGTCTTTAATATCACTGATTTATGATTCCATGTGATCAAATAAATGAGATTTAGGGGATTTTTTATAACATGCAAACATCCAAGTTTCTCCTAAATAGAATAGAGCTAAATGAAGTAATCAGATTCTGCTACTGAAAACCCAATTCTGAACTAAGATTGATACAGGCAAACCTTCCACACTTGTTTGGACCCAACCAAGTCTAATACAGATCTATACAAAAATAAAACTTGTCACAGGACTACCACCACAAGACTACATCAGATTTCTTCCCTGGTCCCATGCTAACCTAGATCTATACATGCTTTATGTTGCAAAGCAGTAAACTAAATTTTAATGATCTAATATTGATAGCATAGAGAACGAGCCATCTCAAGCCCTATAATTTCATTGAGAAACTAGATTTGAAATGTGCTGGGGAAAAAAAAAATCTGCCTTCAAGAGAACAACAAGTCCTTATGATTGCATTACCAAAACTGTACTTACATTCATGTAATCATACAGCCTTTCTGAAGCGGTTCCTACTGATAAAGCAATATCTGCAGGGAAGCAATGCAGGTACCTCCGGGCAAAAACATCTGGGTGGTGATTCCTCCAAAATTCCTCTAATTCTCCCTTTTCCTTCAGCTGTTTCTTGATAGATTTGAATCGAACAAGAGGGATTCTACACAAAAAAAATAAACACACAAAAATTAACCGGTTTTCCTTTCTAGAACTCTCAGATACTCTGTGGGGTTTTTTTTTTAATTTATCTATTTTTGAGACCTCAAGTACCAACAAACACGGGTCATCCCAGGAAGCCCAGGAACTGAGACACGTGCCAGCAATGTGGGCTGTGTTTTCTTACCGTTCCATGGCCAGGGTGAAGGGGATGCAAACCACAGCTAACAGTAGCAGCCTCATGGCTCCAAGCGGTTCAGAGTCTAATGACACTCATTTACTCAGAAGTCCCTTTTTTATACCCCGTTGTCAGCAGCAGGCTGCTCGCCAGGTCAATCAATCACAGGAGGTCACTGCTTTGGCAGAAAACCGATTGATTTGCTCTCAGAGGAACTGCTGGATTGTGCAAATAGTGGTGTCCAGTGGAGCTACTGAGCCACAGATAACCAGGGCACAGTCTAGACCAAATAGGCATTTTACTAACAATCCTTAATGTCTTTTACATAAATATAATAAAAGGGGTGAGCTTGGTTCCCATTAGTATTGGAAAGAGGAGGTGGTCCAAGGACTTGCCTGGTTGCCTCCAAGCTGCTTTTCAAGCTTGCTTTAGTGACAAGTGGCCCAGAAGTGTCCGACTCAGAGAAAGAAGATGTAATATATAACTGTTCCCCTTTTACACACAGACATTTCAGCAGGACTGAGCAGATGGACACTTGACAAGGCTGTGACAAGTCTTCCCCTAACAACTGAAGATTAATTCCCTATTTACGGGAGAGCTTCAGTCCAAACATAAACGTGATTGCCACCCCCAAAAAAACGGGTCTTAAAAGTCAAAAAGATGACAGCCTGTGACACACAGTAATAGCCAGGGGGGTTGTACACATTGCAGCAAGACATTTGGAAGCCCTCGTTTGGATTTATTTTCCTGCGAGTTTCCTGAGGTTAGCAGTTCCAACCCCTGTCTGACACTCGGGTTTGAGTCAGGCTGGCAGAAAAATAATGGTGTCAAAAAGAGACTCTGATCTGACAGAGAGCAACCCCAAACCCATTAGCTGCCTGAGAAGAATCTCAGCATTGAGACTGCAATTTACTTAGGAGACTTTTTTAGTCTTTCTTCTGCATGAGAAAGTGCAGTGAGCAATTACATACTGCAGCATAGCACACATTAAGGCTAAATTTGAATAATCAGCCATTTTTTTGCTCAAAAGACTATGCTTGGATGCTGGGAAAAGAGCAATAATGATTATTTTCCTGCAATACATCACTTATTTAAAATAGACTGCTCACAACGTGAAGGCGAACTGGAACTAGGTAACTCCTCCCAAAGACAGCAGATCTGTGAAAGTGTGTAGTGAAGAATGAATGTCAAGAATGTGGAGGAGGCAGGACTTGCAGCAGAAATGCTCCAGACAAGAAAAAAAAAAATGCAAAAAACCCAAACACATGGTATTTGTGAGAGAAGAAGGGGTCTGACCTGTCACAGACTTTAAATAAATGTAAAGCAAATCATTATGAGCACACACTAAATACATTTTTAAAAACTATTCCTTTAAACCTCCTTCCTTGCTATATCAGGTTGATTGAGGAGAGGCATGAGAGTCTAAAATCAATTATTTTAGACCTCATCAGCCCCCTAGATTTTTAAACACATGGTTTGCTTTTTCAAACTCACCTCCAAAATTGTGAGGGCTACAGAGCCTGTTCTCAGCAAAGGCTGAGCCTGGTGTCCTCACAGAGCTGCATGCAGAGCTTTAGAGCTGAAAAAGGACCAGTGTCTCTATTCTAATGTTTTGTTTATTAAAAAAAATAAATCTAAAAAAAATGCAGGAATATTAACACAGCTTTTATATTGATTTCCATTTGATTGTGATTTTTTTTTTTTAATTGTCTAGCCCTGAGCAGCTCTCTGTTTCTTCTGGATTCGGAGGTTCTTTACGCATGTTCTCAGCAAGCAACCACACTTTGTCCCTCAGACGTCTCAGCCACCGAGCTGCAGGAGCTGGGTACTGGAAAGGAGAACGGTGAGCAATAGCTGGGGTCGTCTGTGAACTTTCAGAAAGCAAAGGCATTTCTCAAGGAGCCTACATGTGCCACCTGACGTACAGCAGAGCAGATGTCATGCCCTCTGGTTGGGCAGTGTCGCTTTGACAAGAGCAAGACAATGTCTGTGCTGAGCGCCTTTATCGCTTGAACTTTTCCTCTAATGCCACAAATGCTTCTGGGAAGTCATGAATGCTCAGGTTTGGAGGGCATCAGGATAACTTTGAAGACGTAAAGCGGCTTTCAAAACACCGCCCTGGGTCTACTGAGGGGACTGCCTTTGCCTTGGAGCTTCCACTGAGTCGCTGATCCTCAGAAGGATCAAGATTGTTCATTTTATTGCAAATGTAGCCCTTTATTAACTCACCACAAGAAGGTTATTTTTTCCCAAATGCTCTGATCTCACAGTGTGTTCCAAGCAGACTTTCATTTAGCCAACAGAGGTACAAAATGCAGCAACAAAAGGTCATTGTGACTTTTTTTGATAAGCTGGAATAATGATTAAACTACAATGCAGAGGATCCCTAAGAAATAGTTGTCTACAGTTTAAAAGTTTAAGGAGAAATGATTCATGTAGAAAATATATATACTTATCTACGTCTATAGACATAAGGTATATTGCAAATTCATTTCTCTCCATATGAATTATGAAGAATAATATGCCTAAACAATATTATTAATATACTCTTACCTAGGCTTTTATGTTGTTCTGATCAGCAGGATACCTGAATAGATTTGTTTAAGGGACATGCCTTTGTCATGGATGTAAATTCATTATTATTTCTGCCAAATGCATTTGGTTTTCCACACCTGTAGCCTACAGTGCCTTAAGAGGGCCGGGAGCCTTGCCTTTAGAAGCCGCCACGGCTGCTTAGAAATGGAAACAAGGAGAAAATGAGGAATATTTTTCTTAAAAGTCCGATCTCATTCCAGGGTAACTGCTTGGAAAAGGATGCTCTGTGAAATCCCGGGACGACACGCTGCCCACAGTGGTCCTCTGACAGGGCACGTAGTGTTAAAGCAGTAAAGAAGTGGCTGCTCTGAGATGCTCATTCAGCAGCAGCTCCTGCTGCCGGGATGCTACGCCTGGCACGTCCTTGCCTTCTGTCATGAGAGAGAGTATTTTCAGTGCCCCTCTTCCACAGCACGGCCACAGATGACTGTGACGTATCTTTGCTCTCCAGGCTTGATACTCTGCCCAGCTCCTCCATCCAAAACCTATTTCACGGCACTCAGGCCACAGCGCTCGCTGTTCTCCATCCTGCTGCAATGCTGGTCCCCAGATGCCCTCTCCGTTGTTCTCCTCCCCCAGGAAAGCCTCCATACATTTTGTAGCACCACTGCTGCATGGCACAGCCACTCATCTTGCAGGGAAATGACCAGTGAAGATCCTTTAGCCTATACTCAACTGATAACTAAGAGCTTCTTTACATGTGAAAGCAAAGCTATTACCAGATTTGACCAGATATCCAGAGGCCACCTTAACTGTTCGATATTGCCTTTTTCTCAATCTTCTGTTTGTTTTTTGCCTTTTGTTTTTCTAAGAATACTTGGCTTCCAGCAATCACGTATTTCGGTTGTGCAGCACCCAACACCCAGAAACTGACTGCAGATTGTTTGAAGAAAGTATCCTCCCTAAAATATGGGAAGTGTGGAAAATGACAGCAATGAGCTGTAGATATCAAAGCAGAGAGAGAGACAGCTGGCAGAAAGGCTATTTCACCTTAAAACACTGACAGTTTCCACACTCAAAGATCATAGTAGACCCATGGCCAACACACAGGTAGGACAATCCCCAAGAAAGCTTAAATCAGCAGCAGCTTAAGCCACCAAAGTATCCAGAGGTGCCTACACATGGGAAGGCTCCTCCTAGAAATCAGAGGTGCTCCTGACCTGAATAGCTATGGATCTCGCTGAAAGAAGGAGGGGAGCAGTTTACACCATCACATGTAAAAAGTCATAATTTTTAACATCTCACTCATAACAAGTGAGAATCTTGATGGAATCAAATCCATGGTGGTTTGTTGCCAGGTTTTGGTACGGGCACGGGAACTGCAACGGCAGAGTCGGAAGGAGGCAGGAGAACAGCCTTGGCAGGTTGTGATAGCGAGCGCATTAAACTGGGATTGGGACAAGAAGCACAACATAATGTAATGAAAAAGGCCCTACACAGCCATGAGTGCCAGAGGCTATAGTAAACACCATTAAATTAGGAACATAAAGAGTAGAACAGCTCAAGATAGCGGTTTGCCAAGTATTTGTGTTAAAGGTTTAAGATAAGTACCGGGCGGCAAGTTACACTCCGAAATTATGTATTTGGCACCTCACAAAGTAAATCCCTAAAAGTGCCACTCATCTGGAAAGTCAGTCAAGTCTTGACAGGTATTTTAAACAACAATTCGATTACATCCGACGTTTCTGCTGAAAGTTTCTTGAAAGCTAAACATCTGAGTTTAAAAACTTGTTTTTCTGGGGTGTTTACTTTCCCAATCCAATCCCGGCTGCCAGCACCAGCTGCACATCCAGCACCGCCAGAGCAAGAGGTGAGGGGCCGGGCCATCGGGGCAGCAGTTTGGGGCAAAATCCGAGAACACTGACAGTGTGCAGGAAGAGGCCAGAAGGAATGTTTTCGGGGGGAGTGTGGGCAGCAGAGGGAGACCTGTGCTGTAAGTCGTCCTGTCCGTAATCCCCGTCACCAGACACTCATTTGGTTATCAGAAACATTTCAAAGCCCTCGAGATTAATGGCTGGTGCCGTGTAAACAGAGCCTTATATTGGGAAGTCGGAGTTACCGGCAGGCCAGTGCGCAGCAGGAGAAGACCAAGGCAGGTCCCTGTCCCTTGCAGTCCTAGAAGTTCCCAAAGTTAAGTCCTGGGATGGGCAATAGCCTGAAAGCCATAGTTGCTTTTCTGCCCTCCAAAGAGTGCCAGAAGTACCTCCTGGAAGACCTAGAAGAGATGCCGGTGGATAAAATGGTGGACCTGAGCGGCAGGCAGCTGAGGCGGCTGCCCGTACACATCTGCTCTTTTCGGGAACTGGTCAAGCTGTACCTGAGCGACAACAACCTGAACCATCTGCCCCCCGAGCTGGAGCAGCTGCAAAACCTGCAGATCCTGGCGCTGGACTTCAACAACTTCAAGGCGCTGCCCCTGGTGGTGTGCACGCTGAAGCAGCTCTGCATCCTCTACCTGGGCAACAACAAGCTCTGCAGCTTGCCCCTGGAGCTCCGGCTCCTGCAGAACCTCAAGACCCTCTGGATCGAGTCCAACTGCCTGCAGTACCTGCCCGAGGTGGTCTGCGAGCTCAGCCTGCTCAAGACCCTGCACGCCGGCTCCAACGCCCTGCGCACCCTCCCCACCCAGCTGCGGTGCCTGCAGGAGCTCCGCACCATCTGGCTGTCGGGCAACCTGCTGTCCGAGTTCCCCCCCGTGCTCCTGGACATGCCCTTCCTGGAGGTGATCGACGTGGATCGCAACTCCATCCGGTTCTTCCCCAGCCTGGCTCACCTCCCTGGCTTGAAGCTGGTGATCTACGACCACAACCCCTGCAGGAACGCACCCAAAGTGGCCAAAGGGGTGCGGAGGGTGGGGAGGTGGTCGGAGGAGACCCCCGAGCCCCGCAAGCGGTCTGGGGCGGTGATAGAAATCTCACTTGAAGAGAAACCATCGCCACCTCCTGCCGCCAAGCCCGAGCCAGAAGCCGAGCCCTGTTGATGCTCTGGCAACAGTGGCAGCACCCTCACAACACTGCCCAACCTCGACTTCTCCCTCGCTTGCTGGTGTCTAGGGAGCACCAACACCACCTGGCTGGTCTTCAGGAGTAGGTGCACCGGCTTAGAGCTCACTGACAGCAAAACTCTCTTGTACAGACACTCCCCTTCACACAGCACCCAGCACTCTCCAGAGCAAAGACTTCCTCCCTTTCCTGTGTGGGGAAAAAACACTCACAAGTTCGCAGTGGAGATGAAGACACAGTTTAGATGTTTTCCACGGGTGGAACGCACAGAGCACATGCAGACCCGCTGCTCTTCACCCATGGGCTTGCTCCTCTCCTTCCCACCTTGCTGAGGTGCCTGAGCTCAGCTGGAAACCACCATTCGAGGTGACGGCTGCTGGGAGTCACAGCGCTGAAGTAACCCTCAGGGTTTGTCTCAAACGACTTACCTGAAAAGCAGCAGCAGCTTGAAGGTGGTTTCCCCTCCTGCTGTGTGGGAAGCGGTAGTGGAGCCCTGGCTGCGCTATCACGGACACAATGAGCTCTCCTCTTACCTTCGTCCTGGAAAATTAGCAAATGCTCATTTTGTTACTGCCAAGCGGCACTTTAAACAATGGTGACAAAAGCTGGAGGCTTTGCTGCTGGTGTGTAACCAGCAACGCTGCCTGTGGGGGAAGCTGCACACCTCACACAGTAGCAAAGATGAACATCAAAGCCTAAGACCACAAGAAAAACCACGAGAGCGGCAAAGACTCGCATGAATAAACCCCGGGCTGGGATCCTGCCACTACAGGCTTGCCTTGAAGCAGAGGCAAACTTTGCTCAGTTGCCTTCAGCTGGGTATTTCTCCAGCTCGCAGCTTGGACCGGTTCTGATCCCCTTCAAAATGCACGGAATTTTTTTTTTTTAAGGACGTTTTGCTTTGAGTAACATAGAAATTTAGTGCAAATGACATTTTTAGCTATTAATTCCATAGCACAGATCATTTGTTTGGTTAAAGACAGCTTTTCTTGTTGTAAAAAGAGCGAGGAGCCCTCGGTGGCGCGGAAGAGCCACATCCCTCTCTGCCTGGCTCGCTCGTCAGTGCCACCGTCTCAGCAGAGTGGCAGTCGGCTTCCCAGAAAAGGTTTGGTTCAATGCCAGTTCGTGCCTGCTCAGTGTCATTTACATGCTTGAAAAATTATCTGGAAATATATAGACTCTCCCAGCGCCTGCCGCCTTGTTAAAGGAGGTCTGAATTTGGATGTGGCTGGCACTCACATCATGCGCCTACCAGTCATTACATGAAATAAAATGCATTAATGTCTGGCTGAGTTAAACTGTCCTCCTTTGGAAGTAACTGAATTCTCCCTTTCCAAATTTTTTATTTAACCTTTTCTAATGATTTCTTCCTACAAAATTTTTCAGCAGGACAAGAGTTTGGGGCTTTTTTAACATCTAAATTCAATGTTTTGTTTGCTATGAAACTGATTATTACTTGGTTTATCCGAGGGGGTCGGGAAGAGGCTGCCTTCACCTGCTTTCATTTAACACAGCATTCTCTGCACAGTGTTGTCACTTGTCTCTGAAGAGAGTTTTGAGAGTTTGGAGGAACACTCTTAAGCAGATTCTCTTCATTTCAGGAAACCTATGGGAGAAAAATGCTTGGACAGGTATTTTCTTGATTTCCAGCAATCTCTGCCTGGGCAGACTCCCCCTGCTGTTTGCCGAGGTGCTGGTTACACTGGCCAAGGGCCAGGAGGGTGACAACGCGCAGGTGGCACCTCCCGAGGGGCTCCCACACAGAGGCGAAGAATCTGCATAAAGAGCGACACAGGCATCACGGACATTCTTGTGACCTGAGCATAAAGAAACAAGTCCAATTAAGAAACACATTGCCTTTAGAGCAACTACTGGAAGAGGGAAGAGGACATAAAGGTAGGCCACAACTGGTGTGAAAGGGGGGGGGGAGAACACAAAAAGGGAACGCGATGCAAAGTGACACATTTTCCACTAACTGCCCTCTTATTGTAAGTGTTCGCGAAGTCAGCCCGAGTTCAGCACACCTTCTAGTCAAACACAGGTTGTTTGGTCCAGGATGCTAACATCTCTCCCAAACTGCATCTTCCTCCCGCTCTCCCCCTCAGCAGAACGCCTATTTACAGAAAATTTACAGAAAAGCTGTAAAATCCCATAAGCTGTAGTTCCGGGCATTGACCCAAGGTTACTCTTCAGCTTTTTCTCTTCCTTTTATTATGAGAAGATGAGGAATACTCCAGCATCACCAGGAAAGGGTAACAGTGAACTGCAGAGCCCGTTTCTAGGATCTCAACGCAAAGCCTGTCCAGGCAGGACTGGAATAACCCACTCACGCTGAACATACCAGGGTTAACCCAAAGCAGCCCGAGAGGAAGGACATCCTTCACCCGACTTGCCTGGGCGCTGCTTTGAAGTGCCTGAGGACGAGCACCGCAGCTTTTCTAATGAAACTGCCCTTCTCGGTTCTACACAAAGACAAATACAACTTTGATGAATTTGAATTTACCTTTTTTTATTTCTGTGTATTTTAAGTGGAACCTGGAGAGGAACAGAAGGAACAGGGTTGTATAAAACCCCTGTTTGACTTGAAGTGAATCTTCTCCGCAACACGTATAAACTGAAATAAGTTAAAACCAACTGAAGAGTTATTTCATGCCATCGATGGAGATTTGCCCGTCTCAAGCTTCTGTTCCATAACCTCACAAAACTAGATCATTTAAAAAAATTACTAAGTGAGATCTGGTCCACATATCCTCAGGTACTGAAGAAAATTTAACATGGGCGATGGTCTGGTACGCGTTTTCTGGGGAGAAAAAGAAATATCAGAAAATTCCTCCCCATGCTGATGTTCACCAGCCTCCCCACCCACCTTTATATTTATTTTTCAGTTGGTATTTTGTGTTCAGTGCTAGCTTTATCTCACAGCACAAAAGTAGTATCATCTCAAAGCTAATAAAACACCCATGATCACAGCAAAAACTGTGATTCACAAAACAGTGCAAACTACCCTATACCGGGCACCCACAGGATAACCCGCCTGCAAGTGGCATTTCTTCCCAAACTTTTTAACAAACGTGGTTTTAACTGCAGATTCTATTTCAAAAGCAGCTGGGCATTTCACTATAATTCTTGCCAAAAGAAAAAACCTAGCATTATCCCTGACATTTTGGTCAGTCACTTCTCCAGATGTTTTAGTGCTATATATGGCACATGAGGAGCTGGTGACATAAGACATTGCTCAGACACACTAATTTAAGTGCAATGATGGCTCTAAAGGCCTGTTCATGTTCCTAATGCAAAAAAATGATGTAACAGGAATGTTAGCATGTCAGATGTCAGTCTTCATTTCAAATAAGTATCATTTTTAGAAGACAATTTTTCTGTGCAGTTACTCTTCCACAGAAGGGGGTTACTCTCTGCCACTGTACCTGACCAATACAGATACTCAGCTCATACCTTGGTGCTGCTTTAATAATGTCGTCTACACGAAGAATCATTTCTGCTGCTTCAGCTGCGCTCAGCAAAACTTGTCTCTTGACTTGGAAACTTTCTGTTACTCCCAAGACTGCCATGTCCCCAATGACACCTTCTTTCATATCTGGAAGAAGAGATACATTAAGAGGTGGATTATTTTTTTTTTTAACTTGGGGCTGTTTTTTTTCAAAGAAAATCGCAAGCAACTGACCGTACGGTAACTTACCTGCTCAAATTAACCATACTGATAGTAAGGGAAGCATTAAATTGTGTCTTTCACTTCAAGGCTCCTGATTTAAGCCTAACATGTTGCAATTACATGCAAAAAATTCACGATGAAAACTTTATACGCTGGGGAGAAGAGGCAAGATCCTAACAGGACTCAGCGCTATTTCCTTAGGTGTATTAACTTCAGAGTTCTTCTCCACAACTTTAAGTTTTTTTCAGGGAGGAGGAAGTCTTTGGTTGTGTTGGTTTTTTGTTTGTTTTTAAATCAATGCCTTTCTTTTCCATCTTCATATAACTAGACTCAAAGTAAGTAAGGAAACTGGTTTTCATAACTGGAAACTATCCCCTTCAAAACCAAAGCTTTTCACTGTATTGTGAAAAGCCTGGTAGAATGATAAAGGAAAGTAACATTGTATATCCATGTTCTACACAATGCAATCAGAAATCAACAAACTCAGCTCTTCCAGCTGAATAAATTAGCAATAAACAGATGTCACTAAGTTTAATAAACCTAATTCCCCCTCCCAAACAGCAATTCAGTAACAGGAGTAATATCAAGCCCTTACCAAGTCCATAAGTTGTCTTCCCTTCACTGTGAGCAGCTCTGAGCTGAGCAACCAAATCTGCACTGTCGTAGCCAGCATTATCAGCTATTATTGTTGGGATCTAAGGGCATAAACACAGGATGTTTTAAATTAATGCAGGCATTGTAAACATGAAACATACTTTGATAGAACTTCAGTCTCAAGAAAAGGAAGTTTCAAAAATGTGGCAGATGATCTGTTACGGTGTTCAGAAGATAGGGAGAAAGAGTCAAACTACCTTCCAAAGGATGTTATTCAAGACTCTGTTAACAAAGTAGCTGCGAGGACAGAAAGGTGTTTGCAAATCTGTCCGTTCATTTCACATGGACAGAAAGAAATCCTGTCTCTTTCTTATAATTTCTGACTACAACTGGAGAAATGGTTTCATTTTTAAGAACATAAGCTCGCTGGTAAGCATTAACCACAAGATCATTCTGTTCATTGTTGTCCTGGTTTCAGCTGGGATAGAGTTAATTTTCTTTCTAGCTGCTGCTGTGTTTTGGATTACTGTAAGATACTGGTTTAGGTGCTGCTAAGTAATGTTTGTATTAGTCAAGGACTTTTTCAGCTTCCCACAGAAGCTGAGAGGGAGCATAGACTGCTGGCCAAAGGGATATTCCATACCCATTATGCTCAGTATACAAATGGGACTTGGAATCCATAATCATTGCTTGGGATGGGATGGGCAACGTATCATTGGGTGGTGAGAGCAACTTGTGTTTTATCACTTTATTTTGTACATTCTTTTACCATTGTTATTATTATTATTATTGTTATTTTCCTCTCTTGTTACTGTTCTATTAAACTGTCTTTATCTCAACCCACAAGTTGGGTTTTTTTTCTCCTTTTCTCCCTCTTCTCCCTACCCTATGGGGGGGTGGGTCGTAACTGAGCAGCCGAGTGGTCCTAGTTGCTGACTGGGTTAAATTGCGACAACTGTTTAAGTAACAGCAGTGCAAACTGCACATACTGACCAAAGAGGTAATGCCAAGTCTTACCACGCTCTTTAATTTACTTTTCTTGGGAGAAATGTTTTCCTGTGACCTTTTATTTCCTAAGAAAGGCTTTCTCCAATTTAAAATACAGGAAGACTATTTTTCATCAAATTGACAGTCTGTTAGCGCAATAATATTCTGTAAACATTTCTTGTGATACTCTTACTTCCTAAGATGCAATCCCCAATGCAAGTCCAGAAACTTCTAGATAGTACTAGAGTGTGAATACAATCAAATAGCACTACAGTATCAACAGAAGGGTTGATACTTCTTTCCTTCATCAGTTGTCAACTGAATCAGCCAAGACTTTATGTGCTATTTCTGTCGCATTTTTAAACTTGCAGGTAAGAGGAGCAAAAACCAATTAGAAGAGGGATAGTGTATCAACATTCAGAATTTTGTATGATGTAGAATTATTAAAACACCAGTAATCTTTTTTTGTAAGAAAACTAACCTTTTCCACTTTGTTCATCCAAGACATCTTGCTAAATTTCACTTTTCTACTTTTAGAAAACCAAAACTTTGAAAGAAAAGCAACTATCTGAAAAAAAATCTTAAACTTAGTGAAACTTAATGTCTATTAATCCAGCAATCTGATTAAACAAACTTACCATTCGTAAAGCCTTAGCAAAGGACTCCATTGCAACAGACTCTTTGCCAGGTGTTCTGATGGCAAGTTCTGCAACAGCATTAGCCATCAGCATCTCTGAACAACCTATGAATTGAAGACACACAGATGTTCTATTATCTGACTTGAACAGTAATACAAAATGCGTATCATGTACAAAGTATCTAATATATTCACCTCCACCATACACAGTTCTGGTGTCCTTCACCGTCTGGGCAAGAACACAGAGAGCGTCATGCAGAGACCTCTCTGCTTCATCTAGAATCTGCTGTGTTGCTCCACGCAACACTATGGTGCAAGCTTCACCTAAAAAGTGCAAATGCAAAAAGATTTAAACACCAAACAAAAAGTACAAAGAGGCTATCACAACGCATTTGTAATGGTTTTGCTATCCCTGCAGTCAAGTTTTACATAGATCAATTTTGGGGCAAAAAGAAAGCATGATGACAAGTAGAATTAAATTATGTACACTGTGCTATAGCTTTTATCAATAAACTGTTCCACAACACCTGATTTAATTAACAGAAAACAAATGTTATCTCGAAACAATCCCTTGGAAACTTAACAGTATTGGCACTTAGAGAACAAGCTGTCAAGTTCTTAAGCATGACAGGTTGCTACTTTTCTTGTCAATTTAATCTCCCAAAGCAGAAATTTTGATTCCCGTCCTTACAAATGTTTATGTGTATATTTAATGTTATGTAGATGAACAATTTCAACCATGAACATACATCTTTGCAGGATTTTTACTGATGAGCAAGGCTTTAATAAAAATGGTTACATGAATCATTACAAAATTCCTATGCCATCCTGGTAACTGAACAGTGTTAGCAGAGGATTAACACTTATGTCACAACATGCCAGTACCGGCAAAACACTCACCCATCGCCACTCCAGAGAAATGAATGAGTTTATCTTCTCCAATCATGACTTCTTCAATAAGCTTGCAGCTTCCTAGTTTTACTAGCTCAGGGTGATCAAAGGTTGATGCAATTTCACCACCTACAAATGTACGATCATAGAAAAGTCAAAGAGCTCACAATGAAAGCATCCATTCAGAAAAGGTCTAACCAAGGGGGGTGGGGGTGGGGGTGTGTGAAGAAAAATAATAATCTTCATAATTGCCCCAGAATAAATTTAAATCAACAATACCGAGAAGCCAATTTTTTACAATGTCAGCATATGGCACCAGAAACCTTCCACTGATGTTGACAAGTCCTTGAAACACCAATATTTTTGTTTCACATCACAAGAACTACTATAGCTGTAATGCTTTTGAGTTCTGTCTGGATTAGAGACTAAATGTTGATATTTGCCAGTATTAAAATGTCAATCTGTTTGAAGTTTTCAGTAGTATTTATTGATTAATATTTCTAAAATACTAAAACAAGTTTGTTAGGTTTTTAAACTTGAGCTCGTGCCAGCATTCATTTTGCCTGCCTGATGATGGCTGAGAACCACTGGCCATCACACTCCTGAATCATGAGTCTCATGTCATGTCATAGCAGTGGCATAGTGCGCTATTCATAAACTTCTGTATCATAAACAAAACGGGTATTACAAAGACAAAGTGTCTCTGAACAGAGTATTGTTCTAGTACTGTGCTCTACACATTAGAAAACCATTTACATGTATTCACTCCCAATGTGTGCTCAGTTACTCCACATTAGCTTGCAGCACTGCTGCAGCTGTAGCAGTACAAGGAAAGACAAGATTTGTAGTAGAGAGTTTGTGCTTACAAAAAGCTTGTCTATTTTTTCCGTGACACTGTATTTGATCCAGTGTGGTCTGATAGGGTCCGCTTGCTCTGCCTACAAAACTTGCTTTGAATTTGTTTCAGAACACAAGCAATGTTCCTCTCAATCAAGTGTCTGCCTGTGTCAACGTACCTACAGACAGTTACACGCAATTGCTTATTCGGTTTTGCTAAGCTAAACAAGTCAGTATCTTTTCCCTTCTCCCAGCAAAACAAGCTATCCAGTCACTTTATCGCTGTCATAACTGATTTTTTAATGATGTTCCAGATAATCACCTCTAACTTAAAGAATGAGAATAATCTGTACCATTCCAGATGTTTAATTTTCATTAGTTACTAGTCACATTTACACTAACCACTACTAAAAATATCCAGTCATTTGAGGTGCACCTCAATTCAATGACTCGGGCCCACATTTTTAACAAAGGCTGACTTTAGTCTTCTCTGTTATTATAATCAAACAACAGCCAGTTATAACAAGATGGTATGAATTCATTTGTGGATTTATCATTTTATTCTTTCTATTGCTAAGTTTCATCTTTTCCTTAGAAAACAACATTTCAAAAGTTTTTCAAGCAGGGACTTAACTGAAAATGTTTTTTAAATATGAAAGAAAATTAATAACTGGCACTAACTGGCTGAATTACATTCCACAGCATCACGATCCTTTGTTCACAGTTGTCAGGAAAAAAAATGTTTAAATCATTACATAGGGAGGTCTCAGAATCAAAGCAGTTAACATTACAGTGAAGTATAACATATTAAAGATAGAAACTGAATTACCTGCTTCTTAAAAAAAATACTGAGTTATGTAGTGGTTCATAAATCAACAAATTAATTTTAAAATTTTTATGGCCAATTTCATAGGGTCCTCCAAATACATTTGTAAGTACATTAAAGCGGAGCTTATTTGGAGTCCTTTTCACTTTCACAGATCTGCTTAATGGCAAAAAGTACAAATTATGTGATCAAGCATTAACTTTTACTGAAGTTCAAAGAAATAGAGTGACCCTCCAAGTTTCATAGGACCAGGTACTCTACATACCTGTAACAAGGGCCAGACGTTCCACACCAGCAAAGTCTGCGTGTTCAATAGCCATGACGCCAGCAGCTCCAAAGAGCTGTTCAGGGTAGTTGTAGATCAACTGTCTACAATTAAAACACAGGCACATCTTCTCATTAAACAGGAACAAACCTTTTAAGTACCATAGTAACAAAGGACACTCAATTCTCAGTGGCATGGATGTAAACAGATTTCTCAAAGCTACAAAAGCAGTCAATATGTGAGGCACTTGCCATAGAGGGAATGTTACACCCCACAGAAGCAAATGCAGTGGCAGGAAAACATACAAAGCTAAAAAAAAAAATTCAAACTATTATAGCTCTTTGAAATACCCTTCCCCTCAAGACACACCATCTATGCCCAGGGCCTACATGCATTAAATTCTAAGTCCTCTAAGTCCTTTGATCCTAAGTGCCCACTTGGGTACCTAAGTGCCTATTCCAGTACAGCGCAGCAGAGTAACTTGTGAAGCAATGCCTTTAATTCCTTCAGCACTACAGATCCCAAACAGTAGACAGGGAACTCAGGGAACTCTCAGGGAACAATAAATGGCCAGTCTTGTAACACACACAAATAGCAGACCACAGAGAAGGGTATGTTCTCCCTTATTAATATGTATCCCACTCTCTCTAGAATGAAGTAGTCATCTAAAGCTGAATGGTCAACAACCACGCGGGGTTGCTATGCCGAATTATTTTTCCCTTACAATTTAGAGATTGAGTGTTGTAGAGATTCAGCAGGAGCTGGGAGATGCCACCTCTGTCAAAAAAAAAAAGATGTTTCTACTCTATCTTCAAAAGAGACAATTGGCACTGCTGGGTATGCACAGATAAAATCCTTCCAACTCTGCATCCACATAGCCTTGAGCTTTGTCAAGCATCTCCCCAGAGATATTTAACTGGCTGACACTCAGAGTAGCAGATGTGAGGTGGATCTACGGTACGCCTATAAGCAGAAGTAAATTTTGTCAGGGAATAAATCTACCTGGCTACAGTAACTGACTGCTACTCTACCTGAGCAACTACCTGGATAACAGCAATGGAATTAAGGATTATTTTATTTATTTTTTTTTGCATACCTCAAAGGATTCTTCCATCATTTTGCGCCAACAAGACTCCTGACTCCAGGCATCTTTATACTTGCAACATGTCCACTGGACAGAATACTCATTTTGCCTATGCTTGCATGCAGTGTATGTGAAATATGACATAGATGGAGACTATGAGGTTCATCATACAGGTTCTTATAACACAAATTTTGAAGGAGAGTAAACCTTTGCTGCTGTGGAGAACAGTGCTGCTCTTACAACTCCCATCCTTTGGTGTAGTACCAGCTAATCAGCTTCCTAGTAGGCTACACAATGAGCCCAAACACCAGGCGTTAAT